TGAATTAATTCATAAAAAAAATAAGATAATGTAATATAAAATTTTAACCAACTAAAGTTTATATGTTATAGATTAATGTAAATCAAAAAATTTAATTTTGAGAAAAATGTCTCAGAGCCTTATTTTCCTAGCAAACTTCCCATATGATAATAAATTTACGTTAGTAATATTATTATTATTCATTGGAATTATTAGAAACGTTTCATTATTATTGATAAGATGAGGTTGTAAGATCATTTGGGAATAGTAAACGATTGAATCACAGGGCTGATAGTGGCGATCAAATTTCTTATTTCTATTTTAATATCATTAACTGAAGTTTTGATTAAGTTTATTCGTTGAAGATTATCATTAATTGAAATTTTTGGATTATTCTGTTCGTTGTCTGTGAAAATTGATTGAGTGTTTTCTACAGATATTAAGAATTCATCATGTGATAGGAAAACATATTTGAGTCAGTAGCATAATTCACATCATATTCAATTTTGTGTATTACTTCAAGACAATTTAGAAGAAAACTAATGTCCTCTTCATTTTGTTGGATTTCAAGTAAATCATTTTTGATAGACATGATTTCATCACTAATTGTAAGTAGTTTGTTATCAATATTATCAAGTCTTTCCTGGACTAATTTTAACATATCGACAAGATTTGGATTAGCAGGTAATGAATGGTTGTTATTTTGATTGGAATGATTATTTTTGAACGCATCAGCATAGGAAGTATTATTATTGGATCTATTAGGATTGTTATTTCTTGGTGGGTGATATGGTTCAGGTTTAAAGCAGTCATAGAGTGGTCTATAGGGGTTTGCTACTTTACGATTAGTATATTCTTTAAATTCATGGCCAGGCGCGTCACAGCTTCGATAATGTTTGGTAGCAGGTTTCATCTAATAGAGAGTCTTTCCTTTAAATTTTTGTGATTATTTAGCTGCAGTATCAAGGTCTTCAAAAGTAGGCAAAATTAATAAAAATATAAGGTCTTAATCGATATTATTGATCACGTGAAATGAAACATGATCTGGTCTTGATATGTGCAAGAAAATCGCTAAGTTGTTATTAGTCTGTATTAAAAGGAAGGCCTGTGAGTTTTAACTCAAATTGTTGACATAATGCAGTTTGTAAAGGTTTAAGATCTGTTAGTTCAACTCTGAATGCAGTGTCTAAAAATTGGATGGATCAGTGTTCATCATAAAATGGTTAGAAGATGTCAGCATTTTCAAAGACAATGAATGCGATCTGCCATGGGTCTTAGATGATCATTGAAAATCTGATGATCATTTCATATTTGGAGAAGAAATTTCGTAGTACGTCAGATTTGACGAATAGGGGAATGTCTGACACTTTAAGGGTCCTTCCTTTTTTGGCGTCTTGTTTAATCTTTTTTCTGCAAGGTCAATGATGGTGAATATCAGATTATGTTGTGTTTCTTGTACTTTTGTAATAGCATGTGTTAATTCTTTCATTGATCAGAAATAAACTGAGAACTTTCTGAATTTGGAAATATAAGTGGAGTCTTGATAGCTATTAAAGCGTATGAAAAGGAAATTGATGAATATGTGTTTTTCAGCTATGGATTTTCCTTTTATATCTGACATGTTGTCTGTCACAAAAAAATGCATAGAAGCAGTGATTATGTTGAAAGAAAAACCCTGAGTTTCTTGGTCACGTGTTTCTTCATTTTACTCAAGTTCTTCAGACCAAGTTTGTTTTTGTTTACCTTTAGTATTAGTAGGAAAAATATACTCAAAACTGATATCATCGAACATGATATCCTTGTTTTTTTTTTAGTATGCATAGAGTCATTTGTTGTTTACTTTGGTATAATTGGTTGCAAAGGAGTAGCTTCAGAAATAGCGTTAACTTCCATTTTTAAGGATATCTCAGTTGGAAGAATATTATTGTCAGTTGTTAGGTTTGGTTGGATAATATTTCTGTTATTTGGAGCTTCGCTCATTGTAATATTTTCAATATCTGAGTCAACTATGTTTTCGTTAGAAAGTTTTTTTTTTGAAGAAGAAGAAAGTTTTTCGTTAGGTTTAGTTATTTTAAAAGAAGAACTAGTGATAATAGAGTCAAGAACTGGAATGCTGTATTTGTTTCGTTGATAGGTTTTATTATTTTGTTGTTTGGAAGAAGTCACTCTAGTAACTGGTATTTTTTGTTTTTATCGATTTTTTTTAATGAACTGGACGTTTGTGGGAGAGAGTTTTTTTAATTTCAGATTTTGATTCATATTAGCCCATCTCGAGTTATTTGCGATTGAATTTCAAAATCTGGGACTCTATTATTTAAAGTAGAATTTATTGATTCATAATTTTAGCTGATAATACAATTACGATTATCTCAAGATTGGATAATCCGAAATTAATGAATGATAGCTCATTGGATTCGTCTAGTCACGAGGAATCGAATAGTAATTATTTCATATGAATTAGAGTGATATTGACCGAGATTGTATGTCATTTGTTTTTTTTAATTTTTTCTATATATAAAAATCATGTCATTTTAACCATTTCAACTTTTTACCTCTAATAGTCATAGTGTTTGGATCTGTGTATCCATATTATCTATGGATACATATCTGTAATATAAATTTAATATCCATTATTCATATAAAAATTAAACCTTAATATGGATAATTTAAAAAAAATTGAATGGATAATCCATATCCATATTATCTATGGATAATACAGATAATACAGATAACACAGATAACATAAATAATATGGATAACACGGATAATATGGATAACACAAATAATATGGATAACACGAATAATATAGATAATACAGATAATACAGATAATATGGATAACACAGATAACATGGATAATACGAATAATACGAATAATATGGATAATACAGATTACATGGATAATACAGATAACACAGATAATACAGATAATACAGATTATATGGATAATACAGATAACACAGATAACATGAATAAAATGAATAATACAGATTATCCAGGATAATATTTATAAACACATATAATTTTTATATATTTAATATAATATTTAATATATTTATTTATTTCAAATGATTAAAAAATACTTAAATTTCATGAAATTCATTATAAATTTCTGGTGAAAAAAGATTACCTATAACATTATGATTTTTTTAAAAAATAAAAGCTTTTCAAAAAAATTTGGCTTTAATTGTGTACGTTTTGCTATTATTATATTACCTGCTTGAGAAAATAATCTTTCACTAGATGTTTATGTAGCTAAAATTAACAAATCTTTTTGGCTAAATAAGATAAATTGAAAATCTGTCTTGATTTCCTGCCTACCACTTATAAGGATCAGTTTTAAAAGATAATTGTGATAATAAAAGATATTCATTAATTTTATTTTCAGTATTTTGACTTTCTGCAAACATATCTAAATCATAATTATCTGATATCATTGTAGTATTAGTAATAAACTCTTCAGATTTCTTAATATATTGATATTTATTACATAAATAAGAGATTATTATTTCTTTTTTTAAATTAGAAATAAAATTAAGGCCTTTTAAACGTGAATCTAGTAATATTGATATCATTGCTTCTTTTGCTAAATTTTTCCAATAATAACATAATAAATGATATAAATTTTTTTTTAACCTCTTCTTCTTTTCCTTCACAATTTAAAGGATTTTTAATTTTAATTTTTCTTTTTTTGGTTTGTTTTTTTCCATAATAACAATATCATCATCATCATTTTTTTCAAATTCAACATCATCAAATGCATCATAATCATCAATTGTTAAATCTATTACTTTAATATTTTGAGGAATTACTTTAATTTGAAGAGTAACCACAATATAATACATAAAAGATGCTGTTGCATATTTTTTACAACCTAATAATTTAGTTGCATCATAAAAAGGTTGAAGTATTTTAGTTAATTGTTTTATGAGTTTCCATTCATCATTACTAAGCATTATTTCTTTAAGATGTTTTAAATCTTTTTAGTATCTGCATCAGATTCAGTATTTATAGTTGCAATTAATATATTAATTGCATTATGGAGTTTAAGAAGACGTTCTCATACAAGATAAGAAGAATTCCACCTTGTTTTTATGTCTTAATTGTACGCAAATATTTGTGATTCTTTAAAAAATCCTAAAATAAAAATTATATTATTATTTAATAGTATTATTAATAATTCAATAAATTAATAAATATTAAAATAAATATGAAAATATTACCCTAGACTCATTTAAATGACATAAATGACATAATTGTATTACCTTCAAATGTTCATTTTATTTGAACTCATAAAAAAATTAATAAGTCACTTTGCACGTGCTATTAAGATTTCAACTGGCATTAAGCCTTTATTTACTACAAGGTTTAATGTATGAGCTGCACAAGGAATCTGAAATGTATTAGATAAAAGGTTAGAAGCTGCAACTATATTTTTATCATTATTAGTAGTAATACAAATAATTTTTTTTCTAAACCGCATTCAAAAATTAGATTCAATATTATTTGTGCAATATTTTGACTTGTATGTGAATATTTTATATATTGACATGCTAACATTATTTTTTGTAATTCAAATTCTTTGTTGATAAATAAACATATAACACCAATATACCTTTGATGATCTCTAGCAGTCTATAGATCTGTTGTGATTAAACAGAATTTTATAGTATTATCAAATAAATTTAAAAGTTTTTGTTTAGAATTATTATATGCTTTGGTAATAAGCTTTTTGATATATTTGTCACTTGGAAGAGTATAATAAGGATCAAGAATTTTGACTAAATTAATAAATCCTCTATTCTTTAATATATAGAGTGGTTATATATCATTAATTAAAAATTCTGTTAATGTTTCATCACATTCTTGCTTGCGCTTAGGATTTTTTGCTCACTGTTTTTGAAACATTGCATCAATTTTTGTTTGAATAGGATTATTATTACTTTCTTTTTCAAATCTAAGTATACTATGATGAGCTTCTAAATGAGACTAAAAATTACCAGTTGATCCATCTGTATTAATTATATGTCTACATATTTTTACATCTTTGCTTGTTCTAATTTCTACATTACAAGAACCTTTTTTGTGTTTAGGTTTTGGTAGATCAAGTTTATTAAAATAACACCATATATCTGTTTTATCCTCAGCTAAAACTCTTTTTTTCTTTCTTTTACTTGTTTCTATACCAACTGTACTATTAGTTTAAGCAGAATCACTAATATTAGCATTATCTTTAACATTGTTAAGTTCCATTATGTAAAATACTAAAATTGCTAAAATGAAAATTTAAAATTGAAAATGAATAAAGTTTTCGCTAAAAATAAAAAAATTAAAAAAATCAATTATCTATATTGTATTACGAAATACAATTATACAAATCAGAAATTAATTGAAAGAAATACCGGTTTTTTCATTTTTAAATTTATTTATTTAATAAATCTAACTTAATATATTTTTTATTTAATTTATTGAAATACAGAACACGAAATTAACCTCTTAAACTGAAACTTAATAAAATATAAATTATAAAGAGTACACACCTTCTTAAGTTTTATTTATACTGTCTTTAAAACCCAGAATTGATCCTATTAGAGAAAATACTAATAGATACTATCGATCCCTTAGCATCTACATCACTTAGTATTAATTCATAATCCAAAACACGCGTTCTTTTACCTAAAAAATTACCAATAAAAAAAAATGTAAAGGCACAAATAATCAACATAATGTTTATATTAATCAAAAGATTTCTTCACCAAAAGGTGTGACGCAATGATTTAGCAGTTTGAATACAGTTACTTAATCAGTTTCATCCAAATTATTTTTGAAAATTTCAAGGTTTGACCATTGAGAATAAGCGAAGAGCTATGATGAATTGGATCATATAATTTAAAATTTCGTAATGATACTAACTCTTCATCAAGTTTTAACTTTTTTACGCAATAAGAATTTCATTATCACAAGTTAAGGTTAGGGTTGGTAAAAGTTCTAATAAGTCCTAATCGGTCTTAAAAAATTTAAAGATAATTTTATTTTATATACTATTAATTAAATTTTTTAATATTAAATTAATCTTTTTAATAATTATTATATATTAATTATTTTATTAATTTAAAATAAAAAAATTCTTTAAAATAATAAATTTACTTAATTTAGGACCTGATCCTAAGACCTAGGTCTTAGGTCTAAAATTTTAAAAATATTTTAAATTTTAAAAAGAAATTTAAACTTATTTTAATAAGTAACTTTAATTAAAAAATTGAATATAATGATAATATTTAAAAAAATTTAATCTTTAAAACTAATAATTTTTTTAAAATTAATCAGGATAATTAGGACCAATTAGGACTTTTACCAACCTTAGTTAAGGTAAATAATAGGTATTTATCAAAAAAAAAAAAATATTAATAATAAAATTATATATTAAATTTTCTTGTAATATCTTTTTTAAAATAATAAACTTACCGAACATAAATACCAAATTAGTCCTATTATAATTAGAAATTCACATGATTTAAAATGAATATTAATAATAAAAAAAGTAACTTTGATATTAAAAAATTATACTTACCACCTAATACGAATATCATCAAAGGCCTATTTTTAGCTGCTTTAATGGCTTCAGGCCAAATTTCTAATTTCATTGGCAGCAATTTGGTTAATTATATAATATTGTTATAAATTTGTTTAGTAATAAAACAAAGAATACTTGGGTCATATCTATTATCACTATTTTCTATTGTCTAGTAAGAATTTGTACATTCTTGCAATCTTCTGTTTTAATATATTCTATGTTAAATCATCAGAAAATTGGTACAGAAAATCAGATACAACTTTATCAGATGGCTAGTTTAATTTTTTAAATGCCAATTTTATTAAAGTTATAAGTTTAAAACTAAGTTAATTAAGTTCTATTTTTTTACGATTTAAGTATTAAGTAAAAATTTTGTTCCATTAATCCTGATTTGAATATTCATGATATTCAACACGTGTTGACATGTGGTTTAAATAATTTAATAAAAAATTTGTAGTTTAGCCTTAAATATTTCACATTACGTCTTATTACGTCATATTTACTTATACAACTTAACTATGAATTCTTTTGACTTAAATAATGATAATGTGCCAGAAACTAAACTAGAACCTACTCAAACCTTCCCAAGAATTTGCAAAATCTACCATACATTGATGACCTTTTATCCAAACAAAATTCACGTAAAACTTCATCTTTGTGAAATCATATAGATTATAAGACCAAAGATAATTTAGGAGAACCCATCTGTAAAATATGCAAATTTGTATTTTCTAACAAGTTGGATAATTCTAGCATTGAGCGTCACTTTACCAGTCAACATAATATAATTATTCCAAAAGTCTGAAATAAACAAACAGTACTTAATTTTAAATGTGCAACTCCTTAGCCTACAAAGGAAAAGGCAGAATAAGACCAATCGGTTGTTATTTGGATAATTGCTGATCAACAACCCTTTAGTGTTATTGAAAATAAAAAATTCATCGAAATGATGAATATTTTTGACCACTGTTATAAAGTTCTAGATAAGCATCAAATTAAAGAAATGATCATTTTGAAATTCGATAAACATTATTCAAATATTCAATATGATTTGAACAAGATACTGGGAAAAGTATCTTTCACAGCTGATATGTGAATATCAACATTAAGTAATGAATTGTATCTCAGTTTAATGATTTATTATATCAATCAAAATTGTGAACTTCAACGATTTCTTCTTGATAATATTCATTTTAAAACTCGTTACATAAGGGTTAACATTGCAAATGAGATTAGTAAAGTTCTTGAGAAGTTCAACCTAACAAATAAAACATTAGCACTTATCACAGATAATAAATCTGCAATAGTGGTATGTAGACGAAAGCTAACAGAAGAACTTGAACAAGCTTTAGGCGATTATCTTTTAGTCATTATTGTTATTCTGCTCACATACTCAACCTTGCAGTTGAACAAGGAATGGAGATCATTAATGAAAATATTCGAATTATATGAACATTAATAAAAAAAATTAAAAACACTGTTTTATTCTATGATGATTTGCGTGAATTATGTGCTATAGAAAAACTCGAATACTTACGATCAGAAATAGATATTGATACAAGGTAGAATTCCACATACTACATGCTACATAAGTTCTAACAAATAGAAACAGCATTAAAAATGCTTGCGATTAAACATACAACATGGACTAAAATAAAGGTAAAGAAAAATATATTAGTATTTTTTTTTAAAATATAAAACTAATCATTTTTTTAATCATAATAAATAGGATATACTTATCATTTTAGAACCTATTGAAAAAGCAACTAAGATCCTCTCAGACTCAATGTATCCAACAATAACCGATATATGATTTTACTTTAATAGAATTCGAGACCATCTAAATTATTATATAGAAATTGATAATTTTAATCAATATATATTAGCTGCTTCGATTAATCAGAAAATTGAATATTATTGGATAATAATTGATAATGCAAATACTATTACATCTATATTAGACTCTCAGAATAAACTCTCTCTTTTTGAATTAGGCGAACTAACAACAAAGGCAATTAATACCTTACAAAAATAATTTTCTTTATATTTTGCTCAAAAAGCACAATCTCAAATTTCCTCTCAAGAAAATAAAATATCATTGCGAAATTACTTTCATCAACTAAAGAAGCGTTATTTAGGAATCCAAGTCATGCAAACTTTAACTAGTTCTAGTTCTAATTTCGTAGAAGTAGAATGATATTTAGCTTTACCACACAATGAAAATGTAGATCCGCTCCTTTGGTAACGGTCTCATTTTACCGAATTTCCAATACTTTCATTGATTGCTAGACAAGTATAGCTTGTAAACAAGCTTTTTCTGTTGCAGGCAATACTATTAGTAAGACTCAAAATTGATTACATTCAGAAACGGTAAGGGTGTTATTATGTATAAAAAGCTGGATTGAGAACAATATTGGTGAATAATTCTAAGTTGGTTGGTGTTTTGAGTTAAATTATTGTGTAATTGTATGATATCTTCGTTGTAATAGTTGTAATAATAATTACGAAATTGTAAATGATAAACATTTTTTTTCTATAATATATAATAAAAAGCTCAAATATTAAAGAGCATCACATTGTTTTGAATGCTTCTGTAACCATATTTTTAAAAGTTTAATAAATCATATACACTATCAATCCATTATCAAATCTACATTGACTATCATATAAAATACATTTCAAATTTATCACTAACCTACCAATCACTCTGATTTATCATCAAATTCATCACATCCAACATTAGTAGGGTTCTTCAATATAATATTTAAAAAGGCAAAAAAAATTTTATATATAAAATCAGTAAAGATAAAATTTTTGAAATCATGTGATCTGCAAATTTTATAAATATACAAGGACTTATTTGGACTTGGTTTTGGGACCTATTCGGACTAAGTCTGAGACTTATGAGGATCAAGTCCTAAGACTTATTGTTAGACCTGGTCTGTAAGTCCACTTGATAGCACTTATAAGTCTTAGGACCAAAACTGGACTAAGACTAACTTTACCAACCCTATATGTATCCAAAGAAAAAGAGTGTTTGTCTTTATTATAACAGCGACTATGATTTTATAATTTAAATCATGATAGATCCCAAAAATATTAAAAGTAGGCCAGCGGATAGTGATAGAGTTAAAGAACCAGATAATAGCAGAAATGAATTATTTATTGGTCTGATTAGGTAAATCTATAAATGCTAACTGAATTATCTGCATATCCAATTATCCATAGATATATGGGAAGCGGTCAGTAGAAAAGGGGAAATCCAAATTTTGGTCAAAATTTATATTATTGGACCACTTGGCTGATCTCGGTCATGTGCACAAAATTAGCTTAATAATTAAAATTAACAAAAATTTTGGATTTCCCCCTTTTCTACTGACCGCTTCCCATATATTATCCGTGGATTATCCACGAATTATTTACAGATTATTCATACAAAATTATTTATCCATGGATACTATCTAAAGTAAAAAATGAGTATCGCAATCCGTTATCCGTATGGATACACAGATTGCGGATTCACAGATCCAAACACTAAATAATCAAAATGATTTCAATCATTTTGATCATTTCAAATATCTGAAATGATATATTTTGACTTCATGTATAGTTATAATGCTAAAATAATACTAAATTATATATAAGATAATAAATAACTATCAATTTTTATAACTTAAACTGAAATTTGCTAAATCACATGACTAAATTAGCTGAATTTTACTAAATTACATGATTAAATTAGCTGAATGTTTACTGAATAGCATTAGTAACAAAAATAATTTTGACTAGTATATATTAACTTAATTTAATTTAAAAAAATCACATTAGTCAAATTAAGTTAATTTTAAAAACTTATACATAATATAATTTAACTAATTCAAGTTAATTTATTATAATACTAAAAAATTATTTTCAAATTTCATGTGATTTTTTTTAATAAAAATTTCTGAAGTAATATTCTATTTAAAAACTAAAATTCTATAATTTAAATTTACTAAACTAATTTAATTAATAACAAAAACTACTGAGTAGTTTAAAATAGTATTCTTATTTTAAAGTAATTAATAAAAATCATCTTTAAAATCTAAAGGTAAATTTTTTTTAATAAAAAGCTGACTTAGAATTAACTTGAATTATAATTAATTAAATAAATTTATTAATTCAATTCAATCTATAACTTAATTTAAGTTATAGCTATTTTTATAATTCCTAGACTACCAATAATTTTTCAATTATAATTAATCACAGTTAATCACAATATTTTATAGTAATTTTATTAATTATATTATTAGTTATATTTAGTTACATTTAGTTTTAATTTATTAATAGTTTATGAATTATGAAAATAATTATAAATAAATCAAAAAAATTTGATTTAATTGATTTAATTAAACTTAAATTCACTTAACTCATTTAATTTATAAATATATTTAATTAATTAAAGTTTTAATTCAATTAATTTATAATAATATTCAAATTAGTTGATTAAAAAATAATTAATAGAAATTTATTATTTATCTGATTTTTTTGAATATGATTATTTTTTATAGTTGTTATAATAAATAATTATGATTATATATTAATTTTATTTATTATTTTGTCTGATCTAAAAATTTTATTATTAATTTTTAATTATACTATATAATCCAAAAATATTTGATAGTAATAAATTTAGTAATTTAGAATAAAAGAAATATTAATATGTGGTTTTTTAATTAATATTTAATATTAGACCAATAAATTTTTAATAAAATTTTGATAAAAAAAAAATCTAAAAAGAAAGTTTTATATTTTACTTAATATTATAAAATATTTTAATATTAAAAATAAATATTTAATTTAATATTGTTATAAAGAAAATCATTTTTAATAAATAATAAATAATATTATTTATTAAATAATTACTTAGCTTATTAATTTTAAAATATAAAATATTTAATATTTTTAGATGTAAACAAAGTAAACAAAAACCAATATTTTTTTAATAAATAGGTTATGACCTAAAAAAATCATATTCTGAGAAATTTTTAAATGTAATATAATTAACATACAATTAAAACCTTAATTTATCAGAACTAGATTTTCTTAGATCACAATCCAAATTTTATAATTTTCTTCTTTTTTTTTTTACTAAAAAAAAATTAAATATTCAATTACAAAAAATGAAAAATTTGAATATAAAAAAGTAGTATTATATATGATCAGATTAGATCAGATTTAAGCAAAATCAGATTTAATCTTAATTCAAAAAATCTGAATCTAATTTGATTTGAATTTGATAAATTTGAATTTAAATCTGAATCTAATGAATCAGTCAAATCAAAATCTGAATCCAATCCAAATTTAACAAATTTGAATTTAAATTTAAATTCAAATCTGAATTAATAGATCAAAAATATCATTTAAAACTAACATTTTTAAACCATTTTTTGTTAAAAATAATAATAAATCATTGCGTTTTAAATAAAAATCTGCCTTTGATATTAAAAACAATATTTTATTGTTAAAAAAACAATAAAATTGTTAGTTTTAACAAAAATCTGCCTTTAATATTTGGATAATATTAAAAAATAACAAAATTGTTATTTTTAACAATAATACATCTCTGAACATTCAGAATAAAAATTAATTCTTTTTTTAATAATAAATGCTGTCTTTGGCATTTTATTATTTGAATCTGATGGTTTAAATTAAATACAAATCTAAATCTAAATATGATATCAGATTCAGATTTTCGCAAAACACTATAAAAAAGTTATAAATAATATATTAAAGAAGAACAAATAAACAAAATGTAAAGTAAATAAAATTTATATATATTTTTTTTATAATTTATTACCTTTTTTTGCTTAAATTAACTCATATATCTTATAATATTATCATTTATTTTAAACTTATTCTTTTTTCTTATTCTTAAATAATCAAATTCTATTTAATTTATCTCCTTTTTTTTTATAATTCATTTATTTTCTATATTTCTTATTACTAATTTATATTTTATTAAATTGTAATAATAAAAAATTGTGTAATTTGACAAAATTAAAATATCAATATTTATTAAGGCAAATTGTTTCGCATAATCCGCAGTAAATCTAATGTCGTGTAACCGATCGTTTGAATAAAAATCTTTTTCAAGAAATCAAAAAAAATTTTTTTTATTTTAATAATGCCACTTCATATACCTTTTCGGCCTCTTTTAAAAAAAATTGAAATAGCAATAAAACTTTCTTGTTTTATCCATTTTATTGGAGAACATGTTATGGAAGTTACGATGGTATTATATAATAACTTTCTAATTCATCTGAAATTTTTTTTTTAAAAATAAAAGTGTGAAACCATTTTTTAAAAACTGTCAGTGTATAGGTCCTTCAATGCTTCCGACTTTCAACACGGTTGGAGATCTTGTAGTATTGGAACATTTCAGTCCAAAGTTAAAACGGCTTGAAATTGGGGATGTAATAGTTTGCATTTCTCCTACAAATCCTTTGAGAGCCGTATGTAAAAGAATAATAGGAATGGTATGTCATAAAAACGAAGTTTTTTTTTTAATAAATCTGGCTAACGATGGATTTTATCTATTTAGCCGGGAGATCGAATTTGCATTGACCCAACGATTATAAATCGGAAATATATCACGGTAAGTTAAAAATGTCATTATTTTTACCGGTAGTCATTTTCATTAATTTTTTTTTTGCGAACAGGTTCCCCGTGGGCATGTTTGGTTACAAGGTGATAATATGAGCAATTCTACAGATTCAAGAAGTTATGGCCCAGTACCTTATGCTTTGATTAGAGGGAGAGTATTTGCAAGAGTAAAATATTTTTTAAATTTATTTCATGATAAATTATATATTATAATATACAATTACGATATACTTTTTTTTTTTTTTAGATCTGGCCTCAATCATGTTGGATAAAGAATGGAATGACTCCTCTTCAAGAAGATGATTAAAAAAAAATTTTTTTGCAAGTAATTTTACGTCTAGTAGAGATAATTTTACATTCAATTTATAGGAATTGAAAATAAAAAAAAATCCTATTTATATTACCGCACATTGTAACAATAGATAAGCAATAGTCATCTTAAAAATTTACAATATTTTGAATTACAGTATTTATATTATCAACAAAGTCAGTCAAACTTAAAAAGATAAAAAAAGGATTGATTTTATATATATTCTAAAGCAAAGTCTTAAATGCTTCCAGATAGAAAGTACTAAAGGCTTCAGATCAGAAACATATAAGGATCACTATCTACAAAAAAAAAGATGAAAATAATAATTAAAGGAACAAAAAAATAATGTAGTAAATGAAGACAATGTCTTGGATCCTTATTATACCAAATCCATTCTTTACACCAACAAATCATTAGCGTTGTACGCGTCAAACTTAAATTTACTTTTGCGGAAATTTTTTTTTTTAATCCGCAAAAGACGTACAATGCTTGGAAAAGTGATGTACGGATTTGCATATGTATATATATTATATATTGCACAAAAATCCATTAATGCCAAAATCATGGTGTTTTCATTTTTCCATTATGGTCAGCAGAACTTGGTGGTCCCCATCTATAGAAAATTTAATTCATCTTGATAAATATATCTATCATATGTATGAAACGAAGGAATAAAAAAATTTTTTTTTACATACATTCGAATAGTTTTGTCGTCTCCTGCTGAAGCAAACATGTACGGATCGATTGGACTCCAATTAACACTATTAACTGAACCTTTGTGCCCAGATAATGTTTCTATCAAATCTGCATGTTCTCGATGCCAAACGTAAATTTTGGAATCTAAAATGAAAAAGATCGCCAATTCAGTAGCGTCCTTTTATTTCGAAATGTCAAAAATAAAATTATACGAAACCTTCACTTCCGCTAACGATAAATCCTTGATCTATTCCACCAAAACAAGATCGTATGACGAATTTTCCTTGTTTCTGACCAAAATATTTTCGCACAATCCGTCTTTCATCAATATCCCACAAATGAATTTCCTAATAAACGATTAAAAAAGTAAGAATCTTTCTTTAAAAAATAACATCTATTTCAACTATTTTTTCAATTGTTTTTTTTTTCGCAGTTCTACCTTTGTGGATAGGTTCAACAAAGCATATTTGCAATCACTCGATAAACAAATCGAGGTGAGTTTCGCGTTTTCATCCATTATCCTTTTTAAAAATGAAATAATTAGCTGGGAAGCCTTATTTAATATTAACGAAATAGACAATGTTTTACATACGCTTCTTCTTTTCTTGTTTCAAGATCATATATATGTAATTTGTTGTCATGGCAAATTGCGACCATTCTAGTTCCTTCTTTATTAATTGCTAAATCTGCTATTCGCGCACCAGACCACTTATGAACAATTGTACCATCCAAGTTCTAAGATTTGATTCAGATTATTATTAAAAAAGATTGTTTAGGGGAGAAAAATGTCGCATATTATAATTAAAAAATTCTTTCTTACCCATAAATAAGTATTTTTATCCTGGCTTCCAGAAATAAAACGTTTTCCGTCTGGAAGCCAAGCACATGCGGTTACGGGTTCATCATGCTTTTTAATGGTATTTAAACAATCACCCGACTAGATTATGATATATTAATTAATCAATGAATTGATAAAAAGAAATTTTTATGCGAGGATCAATATTACTAATTGTATACCTCCACACTCCAAAGTTTTAAGACATTGTCCTGACCGCAAGTTAAGATCTTTGAATCATCTGGAGACCATGATAAAAAGGACACACAGTCCATGTGATCTCTGAGCACGTGAACTAAATTCCATGTCTATCAAAAAAATTTCTTATAAATAGTAAGATTATAAATTTGATATTAAAGTTATATTAAAAAGTTCATACCTCAAGACTCCATATGATAGCTGTCTTGTCTTTTGATGCAGAAGCAAGGAATCTCCCATTATTAGAGAATGCAACATACCAAACTTCATCTGTATGTTGTCTAAAAATATGGGTAGTTACTGAAGGGAATTGTGACCTGATTATAAAATAGTTAGTTAATTTAATTTTTGTCAATTCATAAAGAAACAATAATATAATCTACTTCATAATACCTGTCACAAACATGATCAGAATATAATGAAATATATTCATTCGTATTATGATAAAGACATGATATACGTTGTAACGTAGTTGCTTGTTCCAATAATGTTTCAAGACGATGTTCGCGAACCATAATTGAAGGCGAAATATACTCTAAAATATATATATATATATATATAAAATAATAGTTAACATCGAAAACAAAACAAAAAAAAAAATATTTTTTACTAAAAGAAAAAAATATATGAAAATACTTTGAATCTCCACTAATAATTTTTGGCGCGATGTTCCTTTTGCACCATCCCACTCAGCTCTACGTCTCAAGTCTTCCGCATTACTGCACATCATAAAACTATAAAACCGTAAAAAAAAAAAAAAAAAAGATAAGAAAACGAATTTAATTACTTAAATGATGAAATTTACAACGTACCTTGATAAAGAATGAAGTCTTTCCAAGTTAAAGTCAAGTGGAGTGAGTTCGTTCCTCAATACAATTAAAGCCTTTTTGATTTGACGCGCTTCCAGTAATTCAAGATATTTTTGCTGCCGAATCAAAAATCTCACAACCTATAAAGTGAATTTAGTTATAATTTATTCAGAACGAGAAAAAGAAAGAATGATAATGATTAACTTAATTAATTAATAAATTTACCACAACATCTTTGTTATGATCTAACTCCAATGTCGGGAAAAGACTTTCTACTAAAGCCCAATCCCCCTTCAAGACACCATCCCTGAATTTTGCAACTGCAGAGCTTTCAAGTGGAAAACCCGACTCTTTTTCAAGTGTAGCAGCAGATTGACTATAAAATACAAGAAAAATCATAAAAAGATTAAAATGAATTTATAAATCAAAAGATCTGCGAGAAATCAAAAAAAACATTAGCATACCTATAACCCATGTCTTGCATTGCTTGAACCATTAACCTAACCAACTCTTGTTGTCGAGTTCTTTGCATTCTACTGTCAGTCAAAGCTTGACCGTTGGTTGCATTTTGAGAATCCCCATTACTACTATTTAGAGAAACACCGTTAGTGCTACTTCCTACACCATTTTCACCTTGGTTGATTCTCATTGCTGGCTGTATTTCTGTAATTTCTTCGAGTCGCAAACGTTTTGGAGAACGTAAATCCGAATCCGAATCACTAGCTTGAGGATAGTCGTCTACTTCGTCTCGAGGGTGATATCCACCTGTTTGACTACGTAATTCGTCCGTAGGGAAAGAGGAGCTTGAGTTTGAAGGAGAAGTAATATGGGATGAAGGAGCGAGGAAAGTCAGAGAAACTTGATCTTCGTCAAAGTTGTGCAGTGTATGTGAAGTGACTGCAGCAGAAGCACTTTCGAATAAGCTTTGATATGAAAGTTGGTTATTGACTGAATTGCCTCTGCTACTAGTCCTTCCAAATTGCGAGTCGCGTTCCAGGATGGGTAATTGTTAGTAAGGCACACTCAAGTGTGCCAAAATTGTGGTAGTTAATGGAAACGAAAAATAAGTTGAGAGAAACGAGAAAGTGTATTACTAATTATAATTAAATTGCTAATATCAAGGGACAACCGAATAATGAGCACAACGTAACGTGAGTCACATCAACTTTTATAGATAAGGCTTTGAAGAAGAAAAGATAACAAACTTCGATAATGAGAGGAAACAAAAAAAAATGAATTGTCTATCAATTTATAAAACAATCGACCACCTTTGATATTTTGGATATTTTGGATAAGAAGCAAGAGTCAGAGATTTTTTAACATTTCTTCGATGACCCCCCTTTATGTAACTTAAAGGTTAACGTCATAAGAATATATATATTTTTTATCAAATGTTCTTTCCATATGTTGGCACTAAACGGTACATAATTCACGTGATTTTATCCCAATCACGCGCTGCAGTTTCTTTGAAGTTGGCTCATTATCTAGCGTCTCACCAGAATTATCAAAGAAGACGTAACTATAGATTTCTCATTAACTTCTTTTATAATGCCAATCCGTCATACAAAACCCGTGTGTTTCACTTATTACACTTAATGATAGGAAAACTAAATTCCAATTCTTTATAAAATTTTTTTTACTGGGTAAAAAAAATTTTTTTTACCGTGAGAATTTTTTGAGCAAATAAGGAGAAAATCATACTATCACGCGATTCTGCGTTTTTTGCAGGGAAGATAGATTTGCACAGCCATTTTGGCAATCACAATTTAATATTATTATGAATGTTATAAATTATCGAAGGAGATCTGATCATTCATTCCCATTAGGAACTTTATATTTCTTAACAAATCACATTCAAATATATGTGTGTATATTAAAATGTGAATGTGAAGGGAAAAAATTTACAAATGGTTGAATTTTTTCGCGACATTTTGAAGAAAGACACGTTTATAATCAACGTGTCCTAAAAGAGACCTTTTTGTGCAGAAATGGTAGATCAATGGAAGTCACGTGATCATTTATTAACATAACGCGTCTTATCGCTTGCCAAAACTTGTTGTATAGAACATAAAAGGAGGAAATCCTAAGAAACATTTTGCAATTTAGTAGCAAAGAACATTGAATTGGCAACTTGGAAAAATCTCGAGTTTTAACAGCATCGTCCTTTAACTGTCCAATTCTTCTGTTGCTTTAGCCTGAGCTTTCTTCTTATTTAACTCACTGATTTGCTCTACAACTATCTTAAATTTCTCATTTTGGATTTGACGTTTATAACGACAATATTCCCTATTGTAATAAATAATTGTAAATATCTAACATGAAATATCGCAGAAATAAATAAAATTAAATAAGATAAATGTAAGAAAATAAACAAGTTTTAATTGCAAAGTTATTATCACCATGTGCCAATTGAGATTACACAGAACGATCCAACTGCCCAATTTGAAGCCGAGAGAACATTACCTATAATTATTATAAAGTGTTTCCTTGCATTTTATTTAGGTTCATGATTTTTTTCTTTCTTGATTTAGAACCTTTATATACAAAGTAATGTTGAAATGCAAAGTCGAGCTAACCTTTTTGTAAGAACCTTAATGAACCAACGGTCGCCCCTCCTCCGATTCCGTATAAGAGACTTTTACGAGCACACGGAATTTTACCAATATTTTTAAAGTCTTCCCAGCTCAAATTCTAAAAATGAAGAGTCAGTGGGATAATGAACATAAATTTGAAATGACGAAATTATATGTAAATTTTCTAACTTGGCATACCTTCAAAACTAACAAGGATTGATTTTCATTGGCCGTCGTCGATTCATTTGATTGAGGGTCAATTGAAATTTTCTCATCATTATCGGAGTTTGAACTCATTATGTCACGATTTTTTTTTTTTAAAAAAAAAAAAAACCAAAAAAAAGACCTAGGATTGATTTGCCGATCTTATATATATATTTTTTTTTCTTATTTGTTAAACGTTAAATCTGATTGGCCGATCGCACGCATAATATCCATCTTTTACTAGTCAGACATACGAATCATTTCAGAAAACAAAATGTCAAATAGATCATTTAAAGACAAGGAAAAGCCAGTAGAAGTTCGACTCAGCAACATCATCGCTGCTAAAGGTACTGCTTTGATTTAATACGACTTACTCGTAGCACGAATCCATTTGAAACGATGTAATTATGCTGTTGAGATTAAAACACGAAATTATAGAAACTGACAAACTAGATACAGTTTTTGTTGATACATTTTTCATTTTGATCGTTTGGATAACGAATCATTTTATGACACAAAATATGATATTTTCAAATGTTTTGTTTATAAAATTTTTATTTTATGTATATATCTTACAATATTGCTTTCATTTATCTCTTTAGCGGTTGGTGATGCTATACGGACCTCTCTTGGTCCTAAAGGCATGGATAAAATGGTAAAGATTAATAATAATATTCTCATTAAATTTCAAAAAAAATATAACATTATTATTATTTCGAATAAGAATGATTTTATACAGTATTATATAATCCTTTCCCCTTTTGTTTGCAAATCAAATCCTTTGCTAAAAATTTGTGATTTTGGTCACGCGTTAGTGTTTAGCTTGTAATTGTTAAAAAGAAAAGTAATATCGTATTATGAATTTAATATATACATAATTTAATTCAATCAGATTCAAACTGGTAACGGTGAAGTCGTTATCACTAATGATGGGGCCACCATTTTGAAACACATGTCTGTTTTGCATCCTGCAGCCAAAATGGTAAGTATTTATTTTTCATTTTTAAAATCTACATGATATAGTCTAACGGCTCAATGTTATGTAGCTTGTTGATTTGTCGGCTGCTCAAGATGTTGAGGCAGGAGATGGTACAACGTCTGTTGTAGTAATTGCAGGCGCACTTTTGGGAGCCGCGGAGAAATTGCTTGGCAAAGGTAATGATACCTCCTCTATGGGATGTCATCGACAATATAATATACTAAATTTCAACTATGTTTCGTTTAAATTTAGGAATACACCCTACAACAATTGCCGAGTCATTTCAACGCGCTGCCAACAAATCCACCGAATTTCTTACAGAAATGGCCACTCAAATTGATTTATCGGATAAGAACTCCTTGTTAAATGCTGCCAGTACTTCATTAAATTCAAAGGTAATAAATATATATGGTCATCATTATTAATGTTATTGATATTATTAAATTTATATTTATATATATTTTTTAAAATATAGATTGTTTCACAATATTCCGGCCTTCTTGCCCCTATCGCTGTTGATGCTGTATTGCGTGTTATTGATCCTGCGATAGCTTCGAATGTGGACTTAAAGGATATTCGTATTGTCAAAAAAGTTGGTGGTACAATTGATGATACTGAATTGGTAGATGGATTAGTACTTGCCCAAAATGTGGTTAAAACTTCTGGGGGGCCAACTCGCATTGAGAAAGCAAAGATAGGATTGATTCAATTTCAATTGTCTCCTCCAAAACCTGATGTATGTGATACTAATGATGATTTCATTTAGATCTCGAATTTCATTTTGTCTAATTAATAACATTTTTAATGTTTAGATGGAGAACCAAATTATTGTTAACGATTATAGGCTTATGGATAAAATTTTGAAAGAGGAGCGACAATATCTTCTTAATATGTGCAAAAAGATTAAAAAGGCCGGATGCAACGTTCTTTTAATTCAGAAATCAATTCTTCGAGATGCCGTTAATGATTTATCTTTACATTTCTTGTCAAAACTAAAGATTCTAGTGGTTAAGGACATTGAAAGGGACGAGATTGAGTTTATATGCAAGGTAATTTATATAGATAATTAAAATGAAGGATTTCTTTTAAAATCTAAAGTGATACTTGCTTTTAGAGTACTGGTTGTAAACCAATTGCGGATGTAGATTCATTCACCGAGGATAAACTTGGATACGCTGAACTCGTTGATGAGGTTCAAACTTCAGGTGCTCGTGTTGTTAAAGTTACTGGTGTCAAACACAATGGCAAAACTGTGTCAATTTTATGTCGTGGCGCCAATTCTCTTGTATTAGAAGAGGCTGAACGTTCGTTACATGACGCGCTTTGTGTAGTTCGTTGTCTTGTGAAAAAAAAGTATATATTTGGTCAAAATTCGTTTTATAACATGTAGGAAACTTTTTAATATTTCGCAATTTTCTTTAATTAGAGCACTGATTGTGGGAGGAGGAGCACCAGAAATTGAAGTTTCGCAAAGATTATCAGAACACGCGAAATCATTAAAGGGCATGGAAGCTCATTGTTTTGAAGCTTTTGCTAGTGCACTTGAAGTTATTCCAGTCACATTAGCCGAAAATGCAGGATTGAATCCTATTAATATTGTTACCGAGTTAAGAAATAAACATGCTTTGGGGGAAAAAACTGCGGGAATAAATGTTAGAAAGGTAGGTTGAAACCAAAAAAAAAATATATATGTATTTATTGTATTTATTTTCTTTTCGGAGTTTTTTTTTTAATACTTATGTCGATATCATATAGGGTACAATTACTAACATGCGCGAAGAACACGTCATACAACCATTACTTGTATCAACTAGTGCAATAGAATTATCTGCGGAAACCGTAAAGATGTTACTTAAGATTGATGATATGGTAAAATTCTTATTATTTTATCATTTATTTTTACTATCTCGTTTTCTAATATATTATCTACCATTTTAGGTTCAAACCCGATAATTTCGTGTTTAAAGGGTTATAAATTGCATAGATTTTTTTAATTCCTTGTATTTTGTTTTTTTTTTTTTTGGTGTAATTTCCAAAAGAAAATTATTTTTAAAAAAATAAGTAAAAAAGAAATGCGACATAATCGTGTTCATTAATAAAAAGCAATCAATAATATTACAAAAATTTAAGTTTTTTAAAACGATTTTTTAATTACGTTAGTCCCGATTTTAACATTATCAAAGGGATCTTACAAAAAACACATATATATATATATGAAAGTGAAATTTACCTTTCTTTTTGACATATAGATTACACTGATGGACTTGTAAAACATCAACGATCATCAGAATTAAATATCGTTACGATCTACACGATCCATACATCAAAAGTAATGTGTGATAACTGCACATACAATGATTAAAAGATTTGTATTCTTCCCGGAAAAGCTTTTCCAATAATGGGCGCGGCTTTGGACATTTTATTGCTTATTGTATATGCGGATTAAAGAAGGGACAAAATTTAAAATTGTGATCGAACGGTACATTTATATCGATTGACCTGATAACTTACGGGCTGAAATTAAATTTGGCGTCGACCTACAAGAACTATATCTAGAAAATCTTCAAGTATGCAATTCTAAACAAAGGTTAACGCCAAAGGACTGAGAACCTACTACGATTTAAGGATTGATTAGATATTATTATTATTATATAATACAATAAAAATGTACAACAAACAAAGTTTTTTTTTATGCGTTTTAATCTATGATTACTATTAACCATTAATGAATATTTACTGCAAGTACGAGGGCTGTGAAGCATTAACAGATTCCTAAATGGTACACTTGAGATCAGTTTTTTTTTTTTTTTTTCTTCATCGAAAACAAAGATAAAAAGTCCCCAAGATCTTCTTTAAAAAATTTCTTTCTTCACCATCGGATTTTTAACGAATTCTAAATCCAAAAATGCCATTCGATATTCATATGAAAAATCCCAGTGCCAGAAAGGGGTTTTGGAAACGTCTGGGACGACATAGAGGGTGGGGTTATCCTGATGTTTTACAAATTAGAGGCTCCGTAAGTATCTAACGAAAAAAGAAAAAGAGAAGAAAAGAAAAGAATATTTATAATTATTAATTTCATTCATTAATAGGTACTTCCAAGTTGTGTGCCTATTCTTTTCTTTTCAACACTTTTCACCACTCTTATAGCTGTTCTATATCAAATCTTTGGTATCAATGTAACTCTTCCAGAGAGTTTAGGTAAGTTTTTTTTTTTCATTTATTTTCATTTATTTTTTCTTTGATAATAATAATATTATTGTATTTTTAGTTGGTACTGTTGCTGTGGTGGTCGGTCTTTTATTGGCTTTCCGTACGAATAACGCCTATGATCGTTATTATGAAGGCAGAAAATTATTCACTTCAATGTGGTATGTTAAAAACTTTTTTTTTGTCGGGAATAACCTTAAAGATAATCTTGTGATAATCATAATCAATGATCGTCATTTGCTGCGGCACACATTACTTCTAAATTTTTTAGCACTCAAATTCGAAACGCTACACGAAATATTTGGGTTGGTGTAAGAGAACTTGACGAAGCTGATCGTAAAGAAAAAGAAATGAATATTCGACTTTTATTAGCATTTGCAGTCGCTATTAAACATCATCTTCGTTTAGAATTTGGTACGGATTGGTTTGACTTGACGAGTCTTCTCCCTGATGGATTTCAATTAACGTACTTTGATGGGAACGTTGCACAAGAAAATACGATATTGGGAGCAGGACATGATGAAGATCCTAATAGGAGTATTGCTAATAGACCTTCACAGGAAAGTCATGATCAATCACTTCGTACAATCGCAAACAGGATTTCTCCTACAACTTATAAATATCTTCATAATTCATTCTCTCGTGATGAAACAACTATATGGTTTGGAGCATCAGAATGGGGTAGTGATATTGATGCTAGTATGAGTTTGCCACTTGAAATTATTTTTCACATTGGGTTATATATCGATAAAAAACAACATAATGGTTCTTTGGATGGTGCTCGTTTTGGTGCAATTTCTGGAAATTTAAATTCTCTTGTGGAAATTTTCGGTGATTTAGAAAGAATTAGTGACACCCCTATCCCATTTGCTTATAACATTCATTTGTAAGTAATGTTATTGAAAACGACGATTTTGAAGTTTTTTTTTTTAAAAAATATTCATTATTTATTTTAGGAAACAAGCTGTCCTTTTGTATGTTTGGGTACTTCCGCTCACTTTGGTCGAAAAAATCGGATGGACTGTTATTCCAACCGTCTTTTTGGTTGCTTTTGTGCTTTTCGGTGTTGAAGCTATCGGTATAATATTCTTTTTATTTATTTATTTTTTTATTTTTATATACTTGTATATTCATTCATATATATATATATATATTTTTTGAAAAAAAATAGGTGCTGAAATTGAAAATCCATTCGGTAAGTAGTGATATATTATTATATGATATTTCTCTCTTTCATTTTAACAAATTATTTATTTATCTTTATTTTACCTTTTATAAAAGGTTTTGACAAAAATGATTTGCCATTGGATGGATATTGCGATGTTAGTATTTATAAAATAACCTTAACTTTGTTTTCTTAAAAGATTATATATTTTTTTTTTACTGATAAAAACTTTCATTTTAATTCATTTTAATAGGATCTGAAAGCTGAAATTGAATACTTGCAACGTCATATTCCTTCCGTAAAGGCAATTCCAGCATCTCAATCTCCCCGTTAAATTTTATTTATTAAATAAAAAGATATTTATTTAAAAAAAAAAAAAAAAAAAAAAAACTCGGTCTAAGGATGTAAAATATAACTGTAAAAAAAGTGTATAGTTGAATAGGTTTTTTTTCTTATTTGTGCGCTGTTTATTTTTTGTTATTTATTTTTTATTTATTCCTTTTTAAAAATAGTTCAATAAAAATTATTTAATAGTTTTTTTATATTGAAGTTTAGTTGGAGATTAATATCACGTGATATGAACAGATTTTCATTTCATGAATTTAATTTTTATTTGACAACAAATGAGTTCAACAACAACGAATAATTTTCTCACTTAATAATAAAGAGCAGAAAATTAAAATTATAACATTAACACCTATATACAATCTTCACAAAGATTTCCTACGTCTGTCGGGAAGACTCTTTTATTTTTCATCAACGCTGATTTCATGCCTTTCAAAAAAAAACATATATTTACTCGAGCAAAATTATTTTATATATATAGCAAGTCGAAGAATCTTTTATCCAAGAGAAAAATTAAACAAGATGAATGATAATATTGGAATTTCAAAGATTTCTTTATATGTCTGTACCAACTTCCTCTTCACCATCATCATCATCATCTTCATCAATACTACTTTGTTGCATGACAGCATCTAAAAGAATGTCTTTTTCAGTTCTTAATCTTTTCAATTTTTTTTTAATCACTTGATATTCATCTGCCAATAACTCATTTTCTCTTCTAATATATCTATGTTTAGCTTTAAGAACAAGATATTTTTCATAAAAAGATTTTTGTTGAGATTCATCATCATTATCATGATCATTGACATTATTGTTATTGTTATTATCAGGGGGGGTATCAGAAGATGATGATGATTCCGATGGTTCGGATAAAGAAGATCCTTCCTCTGAAGTATAATTTCGATTTGAATTTAAATTATCTTCAGGAAGTTGATTATGTTGGTTCCTTAAAGAAGATGGTTGTTGCATTTGTCTTTGCCTTTCTAATGAATGTCTTAAAGATTGTTGTTGTCTTGATCTTGGAGAAGAATTATTATTGCTATTGCTATTATTATTATGATTGTTATTATTATTATGAGATGAAGGAGGAATCGGTGTTAAATTAAAAAAAGCTTGAGAATCTTCTTCTTCATCGGGGGAAGTTGACGTTTTTCGTTTTTTATATGTTCTTTGAGGTTCTTCCATATTACTTCGTTTTTTATATGGCTCGCTATGCTGACTTTTCGTGTGCTAAGGTTGTTTGTTGATTGTCAGTGAAATTTAAGAGAAAGGAATCAAATAATTCTTTTGCTAAAAAAAAAAAAAAAAATTACCTTTGTAAGCGAATCAGGTCGCGTAAAACTTTTTTCACAACCTAAATTTTGTTGAAGCCGAAAAAAAAAATACATATATATTTTTAAAGATTTTAATTCTAATTCACTTAATGATTGTAGATAAAGAGAAAAGGTCAATAATAAAAATTTTGAAAGAGGAAAAAAAAAAGGAAAAAAAGGAGAAAAAAAAAAACCACGATTCAAGTTTACAAACGATACCTGGCACTTTACAATCATAAGGTTTCTCCCCGGTATGACTCCTTAGGTGAGTAATTAATGCAAATCGAGAAGTTTGAGTAGCTCCTTTCCTAGGACAGCTAGCCCATTCACAAGTGTAATTCGCTTTTTTTCTTCCTACGTGATCTAAACAAAATTGTATTATTTTTATTTTTTTTGAAAACACGAGAAAAAATTTTTATAATAGGGGAGATAATAATTGGTCAAATTAAGTTAGTACAGGTCCTTTCTATATCGGGAGATCATTGATAGCAAAAAAAAGAGTTTATCATATATATATTTACATATGAACATCATTTATTAATAACTAATTGATTTGGGAAAAAAAAAATTTACCTTCGTGCAAATGAGATACCAAATCGGCTAAAATCATAAAAGTTTCTGGACACTCGTCCCATTTACAAACTAAAGCCTTTGAATTTACTCTCAAAGGAGGAGAATTTGGACTGTCAGAAGTATAAATTGATGATGACATTATATTATTCTAAAAAAAAAAAAAATGTATATATAAAAAAAAAAATAAAACTTGGATGTATGTGTACGTTCCAAAGAACGAGAAACAAAAGAAAAAAAAAGAAAAAAAAAATATTATTATTAAGAAAATAAATATTTTTAAAACAATTGTGATATTGTAAGGTAAAAAAAAAAAATTTAAAAACGATTTTTTTATTTTTTGTCTTTTTATAGTTAAATAAAGTAAGGAATAAATATCAAAAAAAAATTTTTTGATATGTCACAAAAAAAAAAAATAAAATAAATAGAGAGATAGAATTTATAGGAGTTAAGAAAAAATCCTTTTTTTTTTTGTGTACGAATTTCCGAAAACTGCTACGTCATTCCTTTTGAATATTACCAAAGAAGGAATGTGGCGATGCAAATAAAAATATATTAAACACTTTGTTGCATATTTTATAACCTGCAGAAATCGCGCGTTTTGGTGTACTCTTTTTTTTTTTTGTCGGGAATTTGTAAAATTGATGATTGAGCAATGTTACATTATTCACCACATCGATCCCGATGATGTAAATTAAAGTGTGCCTTTTTCTCGGGTCTCCAAATGAGGAATTAAAGACAATGTTTTGATTCGACTTGGTAAAAAAAAAAAAAAAAATTCATTATAACGATAGGGAAAACCATAGAAATCAAAAATTAGAAAAAAAAGAAATAAATACCAATATTCAAAAGTTTTTTATTACCAACCAACCGATTTTTATTTATTGGGAAAAATAATATCGACTAAAAGTCTTTTATTATTCTTCGCGTCTAGAATTTTAAATTAATGAAAAATATCATTCATTATAAATAAGTCTTGATTTTAATCAAAGGAACTATAAATTATTTTACATCGCGTAGCAAAATTTACAATGAAGAAACATTTAAGAAATATTTATTGATTATCAAATCCGCGTTAAGACTTTTATTTTTAAATGATCTTTAGTTTCCGATTATGGTTCCTTTTTTTTAAAAAAAGAAAAGAAAGTATTCGAATGAATGGAACTTAAGGCAAACAGATATTCTAAAAGTTATAATATAATAAACCCAAAAAAAGGTGAAAAACAAGCCTTAAATGGTATTCATTCAATTATACACAACAGATCATGGCAAATCTTTGACTAAATAAATCTGACATTTCATTGTATTGTACTCCAACATATCGTACTTTACAGAATAATTTTTTCTATTTCAAGTTTTGCCCGTGCGTTTAGTGTTTAAAAAAAAAAAAGTTCGAAAAAAGAGGTAAAATGCTTCGGATATTAATTAGCCAAGAATTAAAGTTCTCGTACCTTTGTTGTGTATTGTAACCAATTATTCCCGCTCTTGCATCTTAATTTAGTTTCAATCGACATATATATTTATTTATTTATTTTATTTAACATTGATGTTTAGATCAATCTTAACTACACGCGTACAATGATTATCATTAAATGACAAATTAAAGGTTTCAAGTATTTTTAAATCTAAAAAATTTATATCGCATATTATTTAATTATTAAATGAAACTATAGAAAATTAATATAAAATTATATTTCTTTTTTAGTACAACTATTAAATTTCATGAGATATTACGAAAAAGTTCTAACCAACGTTAAAATAACGAAGAGATTAACCAGCAATATAAAATTTTATTTTATGCTAGGCTGATTCCTAACCCCCGCAATTTCAATTATCACGTGATTATTGTCAACCAACGGGAGATAAAATTTTTCCAAAAAACTTGGCAACACTTTTTTTAAAGTTTGTCCTGTCAATTGGATTTACACATAATGTACTTATTTTCTTTATTCAATTCTAATTATTCCGGTAAATTTGTCCTAGATGCATTATTACAATTTTATTAAAAAGTTAAAATTAGCAATTAATTAATTACTTTACAGTAATAAATAAATTTATTGTAAAATGCATTTGAAAAATTTATGAGATTTAAACATCCAACATTTAAGTAGGAAACATAATTTTATAAACTTTTAAAAATACATACAATTCATCAAGATAATTTTTATAAAAGGAAATACATCAATTTATTATATTATTAAAAAATTTAGTATCTTTTAAAATTTATTTTATTTATAAGAAATTCAAACCTATATTTTAAATTTTATTATATTATAGAATTAAAGTTATTAATGCAATTAAACATTTTTTTAATAATTAAATTATAATTACAATAATGTTAAAAATATAAAAAAAAAAAGAATCATAAAATATTTTATTCATTTGATTATTATTTTATAATTAAACCTTAAATTTTAATATATAGAATCAAAAAATATATTATTTTTATTCAGTATATATTATTATATTATAAAAAAATAATTTTTTAAACTTTTATTATAATTTATTATAATTATTAAAATAATTACAATATTATTTAAAATAATATAATTTTACTTTATTAATTAAATTAATATATATCATTAAATTTAATAGGATGTAATATTGTATAAACTTACAAGCTGTCATAATATTATGTAATTTATATTTTTGTAATATTCTGTAACATTAAGTAGGTAGCTGTCTTATAAGATTGCTATCTACTTACACTATACTGCTATTTACTTATGAATATACTGCTATCTACTTGTGGGTATATTGCTTCTTACTTATGTATTTTTGATGCTTTATGACCTTTTTATAGCCAAATTACTATCCTTTTATTTTTACTATTTTGTGATCTTTTCATAGCTGAGTTATTATTCATATGATTTTATTATTTGTGGTCTTTTTATAATCAAGGAGTTGGTTATTTATTGGTATCTTTTATTATAAAAAATTCATGTTACGTGAAGTTGTAAATCTGTGATTAATTTCAATCAACACTATAATATAATTTCAGCCAATCTTTCAACATATGATTTAAAATCCAATATAATACTATTGTAGTGTCCTAAATATATAATACATTCTATATATATTGTTAAGAAAATTATATGCTAGTAAAACCAGAAGGCTTGGTATAAAGTATTACTTTATGCATATATTATTAGAAAAATCATTATGTATATTGATAGAAGAATCATATGATAATATTTTAGAAGACTTAGTATTGATATTCAGCAAAAATTCAGCTAGAAATTATGCTATAGTATTGATTGAAATTAAGTAAATTCATATTATATCTTATTACAAAAAATAAATAAGTTGCGAGCTAGTTTTTAATACCTTTTCGCTTTCTTCTAACTCTATTTAAATATAAGATAAATCAAGAAAATAATACTGTTTTATCACTTTTAAGCTCAATTACTATCAGTAGCTGTTAAATACCAAATATAATACTATATATCTTACTTATAATTTTAGATCAGTCTAATTTATATTACCATCCTTTAATGCAACTACTTACTTGTACCTATTTATAGCAAATATCTATTGTGAGAATTTTTTACTAAAATTATTATTACTTAATACTTGCTAGTTATTTTTATTACATCAAGTAAGATAATTCTGATATAAAGTAGTATAACATATTTGTTTGCAAAGAATGTTCTTAGACTATATTAAAATATAATCTATTATTAATCAATTAGCATTAAAATAAAGCATTTCACTATAGCTTACTATTTCATTCTACTTTTCTATCTTTAGATAGCTAATTGTATTTTTAAGCCTAGTATTTTCATTTCTAAGCTCATTAACTTATTCTCTTAATGAAATTAATCTCTAATTACATATTTAAAAATCTATGAGTAAAAGTAAATTTAAATTGCAAATTAGTATTTTATCATCTTAATGAATAGTTTTCAGATTTTATTGATATCATATACATTTTAAAATAATTATTTTTTTACATATTTTTAATAATAATAAAGTACGATTTCTAGTTTGTCACAAGTATTATAGGTTTTATATATTAACTTATAATAGAATCAGTAACATATTTATTATATTTCTTAAGAATTATAGGATATTTTATTTCTTTCTTGATTATTAGAACTAGTAAAAGTATAATAAATTTTAAGAAAAAAATTGAAACTTTTCTATGATACTTCTATAGTATATAAGTATCATAATATAATGCAGCATAACTGATTGACAAGAATTCTAATTAGCTGAATCAAATTTTATAGGAAGTTAACTTCGTGATGCTAATCTTAAAATTTCACAAATGGCTTTAATCATCTTTTTATATTTCAACCTTGCTCATGTAAATATGAAGGATTTTTTGTAAGAAAAAGATCAGAATTTATTAATATATTGGTCTTTAAAGGGTATAAAACCAATATACTGACTTTGTGTAATATGCTCGTAATTCTGAAGTTTTTCCTAGTAAAACTTGGTGAAATAAAGAGATCTTAGAGATAGATCACTTTATTTGAATATTATAATGACTGAATAATAAGTTAGCAAAGTTTTTATTATAAGTTGCATAATTGCTATTAGTGTGTTACTATATGATGCTTCATATCTAATAAGAATTTTATATGTAAATTTTGTGTAATATTTATATATAAATAGAACTTCAGTCATGCTATATAATACATATATGATATATGTTATAAATAGAGTTCTAAATCAGATCAGATCAACAAATAATCTGATCTGATCTAATCTGAAAATCCAGTCAGATAGATAAATTTTTAGGTCAACATTAGTTTGAGTCAAACTTATAATCCAATCAGAAAAATTCAAGTCAATCAATCAATTAAACGAAATAAAATATTTAAAAAATTTTTTTTTTTATATTTTTTTTTAAAACATTTTTAATTTTATTTAATATACTTTCTTTTTATATTTTAATAAAGTTGTTTATATAATTATTTTGTAATTTATTATAATCAAAAAGTTAAATTTTAAATTATACTATTTTTTTAATTACATTGACTAACAAATTATTTTTAATTTTTTTTTTATCTGTTCAATTATTTCAAAAAGCTATTTAAGCATTTTGATCAAAGAAAATTAATTTTATTATGTAAGTAAAATTGCTCAAAGAGTTCAAAAATATGTGTATATAAATTTTTATTATGATTGGATTTATGATTGTAAAATTATAAATGTTTTTTGTAATTGTATTATCTCATAAAGTTTTTTTGTTTTTTATTCGTTTAGTGACTTCAAAGAGTAATTTAAGCATTTTGATCAAATGAAGTTGACTTTAATCGCATAATTAAAGTTGTTCAGCAGATTTCAAAGTATGTAAATATAAATTTTATTATAATTAGATTAATAGTTGTAAAGTTATACATGTTTTTCATAATTATATTATCTTACGAATTTATTTTTATTTTTATTTTTTATCTGTACATTAACTTTAAAGAGCAATTTAAGCATTATGGTCAAAAAAATCAAATTTAGTCACATAAGTAAAGTTATTTAGTAGATTTAAAAATATACACATATAAATTTTTATTATGATTGGATTAATAGTTGTAAAGTTATATATGTTTTTCATAATTGTATTATCTCACAAATTTTTTTATTTTTATTTTTATTTATACAGTAACTTTAAAGAGTAATTTAAGCATTTTAGTCAAAGAAATTAAATTTGGTTGCACAAGTAATGTTATTCAGCAGATTCAAAAATATATACATATAAACTTTTATTATGATTGGATTAATAATTGTAAAGTTATAAACATTTTTCATAATTGTATTATCTTACAAAATTTTTAATTTTATTTTTTATCTATACAGTAACTTCAAGGAGCAATTTAAGTATTTTAGTCAAAGGAAATCAACTTTGATCACATAAGTAATATTATTCAGTAGGTTTGAAAATATATTCATATAAATATTTATTATAATTGGATTAATAGTTATAAAGTTATAAATATTTTTCATAATTATATTAGTAGTTATCTAATTTGCAGATTTATTGCAACTTATAATTTTAAAATCTGCAATTAAAATATTATTATATTAGTAATCTTTTTTTTTGAAAAATAATAAAGTAAATATGTATCAATATTTTTTTATATTTTTTTTAAAAAAATATTAAACAAAATTAATAATTGTTTAGTTTCTTATTAATTATATTATTTTTATATTTGATATAAATATTGTTAAACTAATAAAACTAAAAAAATTCCTTTTTTAAACAAATCAGATCAGATTGGATTAAGTCAAATGTATATGTAATTCAGGTCAATTTTATGTCTGACCTGACTTGACCTTATCAGATCAGTTCAAGTCAATTACCTGACCTGATCTGATCGATCTGATCTATTCAAAGCTTTAGTTATAAAAAATATTAAAAAATTAAAAAACTCAGATTTTTTTAGAGACATTTATAACACTTATGACACTTATCAAGAAAAGTATTTTTTAGTCTCGAATTCTGAAAAAACTATTATTTACGTTATAGATCTCTGTTACAAGTTTTTTTAGTGATACTTGTAACAAGTTATATTATTTCACATTGCTTTTTTTATACTTAAATTACTCACTAATACCTATGTTAAAGCTAACTCACTTAGCTTTTTCTGATAATATTATTTCATTTTATAATGCTTTCTAGTATAAATATCACTAATAATATATTTGAAAAGGTTAATTTATCACATTCATTATAAGATACATGTGAGAAGAGTTTCAATTCCTGATTGCAAACTTCATCACTTCTAAGAATATAAGGATATCGATAAAATGCTATTTTTAATATTTATAATTAGTTGGTTTATATATCAATTCATATATTTTAGAATTTTCACTTTAAATTTTTTTTCTCTCAGAATACATATTTTTTCTTAAACTATATATTTATAATATAAAAAATGATTTAATCAGAGTTTTCAGAGTTCTTTGATACTCTTACTTCTTTTTACTTAAAGGCTGAAAAAGATAAAATAAAAGGTCAAGTAATTTATTACTCTATTGAAGATTTCTTAATGAAAATTCTAATTTATAATAATATAATTACAAAGAATAATGATGAATTAACCACAATTCTTAAGGATGTAATATCAAGCATTAAGATATTTTATTTATAATTGTTAATATAAAGGAATCTATTAAATTTATAAATGAAAAGACTATTATATATTATGCCTTTATAATTCTCTTATTAATAGTCAAAAAACAGTAGTAATAATTATAGCCATTCAAGTTTTCTTTGATATTCTAATACCAGATGAAAAGTCTTTAAATTTATTTGAGATAACAATAAAAGATATTCTCTCCAATATAATAAAAGGTCTCCTTAGAATTAAATCATTCAAAAAAAGACATATTTGCGTATAAAGTTGTTAAACGAAATTTAAAGTTTAGATAAATGTTTAAATGGTAAAAGTAAAACTTGGTTAAATTATATTACAATCTTATTAAAAAATCTGCAAAATTCATAAAAAGGTAAAACTATATCAAAGCTTATAAAAATGGTAAAACTATATCAAACACTTAGTAAAAATTTAGCAAAACTAAAGGTTTTATCATTTTGCCAAATCCAAAATGAGTTTAGATAAGCAACCTTAATCATATCTTTTTATAACTTTAATTTTATATATATTATATTATTAGCATTATTAAAAATTGCTATTAGAATTTATTTTTAATTGATAAATTTTGAATATTAATATATTTAGGATTTATACAAAAAATGAAAAACAAAAATTTATTGAATTTACATAAATGATCTATATAACAAAATAATCAAAAATAAAGTTTAAGATTATTATTTGTAGATTTTTTATCAATAATATCAATTTATTTGCAAAGTTATTTTAAATGATAAAAAAGGTTATTAGTGATAGTCTTGTTATGACACATGATACTGTGTCTGACATAATTGACGAATGGTAATCTTGATGATCATGATTCTTAACTTTCTACTATTTCTCTGATTTTTCTAATTTCATTAATTTTTAGCAATCTCTAATTTCACACATTTCTTTAATATATTTAATTACTTTATTTTCTTATATTTCTTATATTTCTTTACTATCTTAAATATCTATTTCATATTAATGTATTTTATATAAATATCTTGTATTTCTGCCTCAATAAATGGCAGAGTCATTACCAATTCTCTAATAAATCAATAATATTTTATTTTTTAAACTTATCATTGCTTGTAAAATATTTAATTTATTTATTTCTTTTATAGTTTAGATGCACATAAACTTTATACTAGCAAATAAACTTTGTTAACTTAATGATAAACAGTTTAAGCTTAACAAGGTCAATATATTTTTTGTAAAAAAAATTAAGTAAATTAATTTATCATTTTTTTTAGAAAATCTTGAATTATATATAGTTCAATTTTATATAACATTAATTTGAAATTAATGTAAAACAATTAAAATTCCAGATGTAGAATTTTGTTCTAAAATAAAATTTCTAGATATTTTGCAAATATTTTAGGATATATTCAGACATTTAAAAAATTTTTTAAATAATTATCTTTATAAAGTAAAGATTTAAAATTAATACTATATAATTTAGATCACTATAATAAATCTAATAAGTTATATATTATTTTTAATAAATATTATATTATTAGATGATTTAATTTCAAAATAATTTTAGACATCAATTATATAAATTAAATTAATTTTAATGATATAATTATATACAATTTCAGTATAAAATCAAGACAATAATTATTCATAGGACATTGGATTTACATTAATTTGATTTCAGTCACTATGGAATTTTTCGATTTTAAAATCAGGATATAACTTTGCTAATGAATAAAATAGTCTAAAGTTATATATAAAACAACAAGCTGTACCTTTATCAGATTGGTAGATGTGATACATTGTAACAAAAAAAAAAAAAAAAATGTCTAAATCCTCATAATATAAAGTGGTTAGTTAATTCACATATGAAAGTATAGTTTAAAATCATTCCTTTGTAACTAATTATTGTTTTTAAATCATAATCAATTTTTTACTTAAAAATCAAGAAAATACTTAACATATAATTCTTAGTGAGAAAAATAATACATATAATATAAAGTAAGGTAAGAAAGATCCTGCCTCGAAATTACTTGTAACCGAACGTACGTTATGTAATCTTAGCCGGATTTTTATCGATGATCTGCCTTACGGATCATAGTAAATCATATGACCCGTAAGGTGATTATATTCGACGTTACGAAGGATTTAAGATAATTGACTTGACTAATACGACCAGGGATGTATAGTAGATGCCGATTTTATATTGTTCTAGTGAAATATTTTTGCCAAATTATTCAGATTGTTTGATTAATTAACTAACTCAGGAAAATACAGATGTCGACTTGTATAAAAAGATTCAGGATGGATTTCCGGTTGATAAAATTCATTTTTATCCAAATTTGAAAATTTATTTTCTTCAGCAATGTCAAATTCATAAGATAATTCAGATGAATGCGGATCGTCACATATAGCATTTATCCACTTTCCTAATAATTCGTTTAACTCAGATGCAGTTGGACGTTTTGAAGGGTCAGGATCCCAACACTGTGTCATTAATTGAGTATATACATTTGGAGTTCCATCAATAATTTCAGGTCGAAGACCAGAGCAAATGTCGCTAGCTAATTTAAGATCATGTGGTCTATTACACCATGGACGAATACCAGCAGAAAGCGTCCACATGATAATTCCGAAGCTAAAAATGTCGGAGGCCTTTTTTATTGGATTCCCTCGTAAAACTTCAGGAGCAACATAAGGAAGAACTCCATATATTATATTTGAATTTGCTTTATCCAGAGGAAAATGTAATCCCACATCACTGACACGTGCTTCTACTGAATCAGAAGATGTTTCTATTAACAGATTGCCTCCGTGAAGATGTCCATGAATTAATCCTTTTTCATGAATTTTGTTTATGCCTTCAGATATTCCCCAAAGTAATTCAACAATATCTCTCCAACAAAGCATTCCTTTTACATTATCAAGATATGAATGTAAATCTTCGTTATCGTAATATTTCATGACAAGTATAAAATTTGAAGTATTATCTCTAGTTATTCCGAATACTTCTGCAATGTGTATATTTAGTAGACAGCGATATTTATAAAGCTTTAATTTGTTATACATTATACAAAATGTTATTAATCCTTAAAATGAAATTTTTTAAAAAAATAAAACAATAGTAATGATGACTAACTTGACTCAAATATTCCTCATTCATACTTGATGATCCATTAAGTATTTTAAGGGCAACTTTTATAGGTCCATTGCGTGTCCATTGATCAGCTTCTTCATCCCAAATCCATCTAGGACCTTCCAACCAAAATGCTGAATAGATTGTGCTAAATGCTCCTCCTTTATTTGTGTTTTCTACAAGAATAAGTTGATCAAAATCAATATATTCGAGATAGTCTAAATTCTGGGTTGCACTTAGTTGGGTAAGCTTGATAAATTCGTCAGTAATAGGATTTCCACTTTTCCAATTTCTGAAATTATCCTTTAGAATTTTTACATCACAAACATTACACCATCCCAAACTGCTTCGCTCATTTTCACATTCAATACATTTCCCATAGTATACATTAGAATTTGCCGAACCAACCTCTGTTAAAATGTCATCATTTATAAGCGTAGTTTCCATATGTTACTGAAATTAATGAAAAAATGCAAAAAAAAATTAAGAAAACATTTTTAAGATCTCAGTATGCAGCCTAGTGTTAATTATACAGTACTCCCCAGAATCACCGAAAAAAACTCGGGAATGTGAATAAATGAGAGTGACAAATAAAAAGGTGTGACGCGAGTGATGATTATTTGAATAACCACGTGACCGAACTTTTTTGTAGTTGAAGATTTTGATACAGGCAAATATCACGTGGGGTGATTTAGTTAATATTTAGAAAATTTTTTAGAAACACCCGGATAATTAAACAGAAGTTCTCTACTGAGTTTACAAAAACCAGCCACTGAACGAACGAATTAAATAAGAAAAAGAAAACGAAAAATATTTACCTGATATTAAGTGTAATGTGGGCAACTTCAATTTCCTACACGTTATTTATAATTTAAGCGTTCATTCATCTGCAAACTATTTTTAGTATTATAATAATTATATGGGTTATAATAAGGAAACCAACGAGAAGATCGCAAATTAATTTATGTCATAATAAAATAAATTAATAAAGGTCAAAACTACTTATAAATAGTATAAATAGGCTATAGCTTAGATATATTTTTTCCTTTCTGGCCTAAAATTAATTACTGTAACTGGTTACCAATTAATCGATTTAAGATTCTATTCATTTATTTAATAAAAAATTTATTTATTCTTACTATAAGCTTCGGCCGAACGATTTCTCTTCTTTTCCAAAAAAAACCTTGCGGTCTTTTCTTTTCTTTAGGTTCGTCCCTCTTTGGGTTAAATTTTTTTTTTTTTTTTTTACTTTTTTGCGATTTCTTGGGTTTGGTAGTTTTTTTTTGACTTTATTTCAGTCGAATTTTTTTTTTTACATTCTGTTTGATTCAGACTTTAATCATAATAATTTATTTTTCGCGTTATTATCTTTTAGATTATTTATTGCAAAGCAATACAATATTGTAATTTTTATTTTATTTGTTCAATTAATAATCCCGAATTTATTGTTTGTTATCTTGATTTGGACGATCAACATAGGGAACCTATCCTAAATAATCTAAATAATGACAATATCGTCTTTTTTAGATTTCCTTTCTAATGCAAAGGCCCCACATGCTCAAAGTCAATTAATTTGTTTGTCATATGGGCGAATTGTCATCTTGATGAAGGTTTAAAATTCCCTGTTCTTCCATCTTGGAATAATTTTAATTAGTCGCAATAATGTCGCATCGATAATTTATTTGACAGAGCGCTGATGTTGAGGCAATACTTGATGATTTTGATAAATTCTTTCTTGCATCAATATAAAACCTTCTGCTAACTTTATTTCCGTTTATAAATATAAGCTCTTGAGCAACACATCCTAGTCAATAATATAATATAAAATTATATAGTATTTATTTACTAATCAAAAAATAACTTTCAAAAAAAGTTACTAATTGATGTAAAGCCAATATAAATTTAATTGATAAATAGAAGAAAATCCAAGCTTACAAGATATAATCTGTCATTATTTAAATAAAACTTTTTTAATGGGATTGAAGTGGTATAGCTTTCTATAATGGACTGTTTCTAAAAAGAATTTTTCTGATGTTCAGCGACTTTAAAATGACATGCAAGACAGTTTGCTTAAGCAATTTTGGAAAAAAAACTCTGTTGAGCTTAACGTATTACAGCTTTAATATCTAACCAAAGATTAACATACATTTATTTTGCTACTTTGTACTAAACGTATCCAAAAGTGTCATCTAACAAGCGATTAATCGGTCCGTCTCCTTTCTGCAAATTTTTTTTACCTCAACGAATTACTAAATTATATTTTAGCATTATTTTTTTTTATAATCGTTCGTTCGTAGCTTTTTTAAAATTATTTATTCTATTTAGATCGTATTTTTCATGCTTATTAAAAAAAAAAACTTTTATGGCTGGATCTAAGTTTTTTTTTTCCTAAACTATTTTTTTTTTGATGGGAAAGTAAAAATAATTTTTATAGATTAATAAATGTGTATATATTTTTTTCATACGAACTGGAAGTCATTGAATTTATGTTTTTTATTTTTGTTTTATAAACTTTATTTGATAAACTTTAGGAGCAGGATCATTATACTGCTTCAGATACCCCGATAAACTTTGGCTGCGCCCGATAACTCCGATCGAATTCTGGCAGTTCATCCAAATCTGACATTTCAGGACTTTTCTGACAGTTCGGACCTGACTAACAGATATTGACGACATGTCATTTCGGCCTTTTCTGACATCAGTTTAATAAATTTGCCTAACCGCGATCAATTAATATTTTTAAGGAATTCCGTCCGTGACAAGGCCTTGGAAAAAAAATTTATTATAAAATGACTTTGTTTTTGATAGGATAGAATTAAGTAGAATCTCTTCTTCTAATGGTCTATTACAGAGCGACTGATGCAGTGATGGTTGTATTCGTTGATATTTTACCAATAAACATTGTTTTTTTTTCTATTCTTTGTAATTCTTCCAAGTGATCGACATTCGTCTTTGATATCTTATCTTTCTAATAATTCCCATACGAAATTATGAGGGAACATGCTTTGCTGTTGAATGATGAACTTGAACCTTACCTGAGTTATGGAAATGCGTTACAACAAGACCCGTTAATGTTTATGGACCTTTTCAACTTCTAAGACTTTTAACGATTAAGAAAGTTCTATTTCTACAAACAAATTACTAGAAAACATATTCATCTTCTGAAAATTCGGGTCTTCAAGAATCTTTACCTCCTTTTTACCTCCAATTAAACCTTCATGATCGATAAAATGATTTTTTTTTTATGACTAAATTATTATAAAAGATTTGTATAATTGCCACTGACAACTGCTACGATGATGAAAACGTTTCAACGTAAGTTTAAAATCTCTAAAAAGAATAGTAAATAAACAGAACCTAATAAAACATTAGAAATCTAAAATAATGTAAACAAAGTGTTATCCTTTTTGTGCATAGAAAACTGTTGATATAATTAATTTTACTAATAAATCTTAATAAATCTTGTAATTAAATTATAAATATTTTGATTGATTTTAGTGGTATTTTTAACATTAGCAAATTTACATTGCTTAACGACTCGCTGACGAGGTTCCTTTTGTTCTTCAATTAGCTTTCTTTTTTCTTTCCCTTTTCTGATGTCAATTTTGACCTAATATTTCACGAACTTTATCGCTTCAAAGTTAGCTAAATCACGAGTAAATACATATAAAATATATGAGTTAAGTCTTCTCATTGTTCTTTACTAAATTCGAAATATAAAATCAAACGAAAAAATATCAAATTCAAGTTTACCATTTCAACATGTTTCATTGTTTTATACTTAGGACTAACAGTAATAGCGTTGCCCGGAAAAAATGGTAGCCTGACAAATTTTACCGAAACACACATGACTTCGGATACTGATCTCCGGTATTTTTATTATATATACATATTAACTTGTAATATTTTCCCAACCCTGATTGCAACATTCCACAATTCAATTTGATGGATGCGGACCAAATATTCTAAATTAAACATGATTATAACCCCCTTAAATCAGTGATGGCCATTTTACAGCATTAGTATAATTTTAATCTTATTATATAATTTCTTTAAATTACTGTCATTATTCATCATTTGTCATTTGATCATTTGAGGTCATAGGTCTTGTGATCACTGCTTGATGTTATGAATTGTGATTTATTTGATTTATTTTAAATAATCCAATCATGTCGATTACTTCAGTCAAAATAAGTTAGACCGGCGTATCATCTATATAAATAAGGAAATACACGTGCAGAAATTACAAAATGAGTAATGAATTTTGATCAATCTATTTAACAAAAAAAAAACAAAAAAAAAAATATTATTAATAAAAGTCTTTCTCTCCCTCTGAATTATTTAAAATACTCTTAAATTTTCATAAATGGCGGTAAGCTAGTCAAATTGATGTTTAATTTTCACTTGTTTCTTTCGTTCGTTCATCGGCGCTTTCTTAGATACCTCTTTGTTTTTTTTTTATAAACTTTTTAACATTTTTATATATTTCAGAACAATGAAGAGAAAGGTCGCGAATTCACATTCGTTCTTGTTAAAACAGTAAATGGTGATGATTCATGGGCGAGGAATGTAGATCTCAAAGGAGCTAATATCGTTGGAAAGTATAAAGACATGCGATTTATCATCAAAAGCATCGATACGGATGAGAAAGTAAGCATCGATATCGTGAAAGAACTGAATGGGGTCATGCCTGAAAATTCCAATTTGCTGAGAATTATAGTCGTTTCAAGAGGGGGTTTCACAGAGGAATCATTGGAATTCGGAAAGAGGAATAAATGTTTGATCCTTACCGACAAGGATCACTTGGTTTCAGATCTTATGGATCGTTACATAATGATTAAAAACGAACAAAGTAATCATGATTTCCTAATTTTTAAGGGGGACATGTTAACTTGTGTAGTAATTCTGTTCGTCATGTTCTTTTCATTCTGTGCAATTCTTTATCTTTTATATCCATTCCTTCGTATCAATTATAGAATGTTTGCATAATTTGTACAGATTTTATACTTTATCAGATAAATTTCCATGTTCTTTGGTATATTGTAACTACTTTAATATGAATTTTTTAGACTTGTTTTGTTATTACAATTTATATTTAGTATAAATTAAAACAAACATTTATATATATTCTCCGTGAAATATTGATTTATCTTATATTACAGTACAAATAAACGCTTTTAATAGATGAATCAATTATTTTATCGGCCTCTTTTTGATAAGTAAAACTGTGTAACGGTTCTAACTAGGGATATGATCATCTGTGCTTGGATCTCAAACCAGATTAACATGAGTTTATTATGCTATGCTTACAAAGAATGTATTTCAGTTTTCTAAAAGTGATGATCATAAATATGCACTTATATTCTATTATCGTTATACAAGATATTAAAAAAAAATTTTATTTTTTTTTAAAAAAAAGCTTTCTTTTAAAAATTAACAATGTCTGATAGTGACAATAAAGATAAAAGTTTAATAGAAATGCCAAAAAAAAAAATATTTCCACCAACAAAAATAACGGAAATAAAGCTTAGCAAATGAGTATATTTGACGGTTAGGTGATTTTTTAAAAAAAATTATTTCACAAATTCACATTAGAGCCATTTTCGGATGTTATGGAAGTATCCTCATTAGAAGAAATAGAAGGTAATCCCATGAATTATTAACCACATTTAAATATTATAATAATTCATTAATTATACTCATTTTTATTCATAGAATCTGCTTCATGTGATGAAGGTAAACATAAATAATTAACCAATACCACGAAAATTGTAACGTTAAACTAACCTTGGTGATGAAATTAAATATAATAACTATAATACTGCAATTCGTTAATTATATTTTTATTTAATTCAAAATTTGAAATATAGGATTAGTTCCGAGTGATGGTGAAGGTAAATACAATAAAAATATATGTATTTAACAAATAATATTATATTTAACTATGTTATTCAAAAAATTAGAAGGATTGCACGGTAAAGAATAATCTATCTATCGTTAGTCAAAAATAATATTTTAATTTTAGCATAAATTTAATTTAATTTTTATTTATATATAGAATATATATTTTATCTTAATGGTAAATTATTTTTATTTATTATTGGTAATTTACTTATATATTTTTAAAAATAAAAATTATTTTATATATTAAATAAATTTATAAATTTATTAAATATAATTAAATTTAGTAAGTTTCATTTTAAAGTTATAATAAAATTGTAATAATAATATAAAATATTTATTAAGAAAAAAGGAATATGCTCAATTTGTGATACAAAAAATACTGGATATAAATGGTGTAAAGAATGTAATTCTAAATTGCTTCAACAAGATTTTTCTAATTGGACTAGCAAAAATAAATTTATTAATAAATTTATTCAAGATATTCAACTGAATGCTAAAAATACAAAGCAAATATTATAATGGATTTCTTATAATAAATTAAAAGATATTGAATATCTTGATAAAAGAGGATTTAGCATCATATATAAAGCTATTTGGTTAGATGGATATATTAAATCTTATTCATATGATAATAAAAATTGGATTAGAAGTAAAAAAATAGAAGTATCTCTTAAATGTCTTGATAAATTATCTAATTTAAATAAAGAATTTTTAAATGAGATATGAAATTAATAATTATTTTAATTTTAAATAATAAATTTTAAACAAATTTTTATTATTTTAGTGGAAACATCATTATGAATGTTTTAGTCAATTAAAAAAATATTCAGATGAAAGTCTTATTTCATTATATGGATTTACTCAAGATCCAAATACTTTAAATTATATGATAATAATGACATATGCAAAAAATAGTAATTTAAGAAAAAATTTATTAAATATAGTTAAAAATATATGGATTATTAAATTATTACAATTAAATAATATTATTAATGGACTTGATGAAATGCATCAAAAAAGTCTTATTCATTGTGATTTTCATCATGGCAATATTTTAAATATTAGAAGTAAGATTTTATTTATTAGTAATTTAGGATTATGTAAACCTATAGAATATTTTCAATCACCTAAAAATAATGGTATTTATGGTGTTTTACCATTTGTAGCACCTAAAGTTTTAAGAGGTCAACCTTATACTTTAGCTAGTGATATATATATAGTTTTTCTATAATTATGTGGGAATTTATATCTGAAATTCCTCCATTTAATAATGAAGTTCATGATTTTCTATTAGCATTACATATTTGCAAAGGAAAATATCCTAAAATATTCCACAATGTTATATAAATTTAATGAAAAGATTTTAAAATATGAATCCATTAAAAAGACTAACTGCATTAGAAATTAAAAAGATTATTGAAAATTGGAAAAAAAGTATCATTACTATAGATAATGATAAAGAATTAAAGAATGTTACTTTAGATTTTTATAAAGCAAATAAAGTATTAAAAAAAATACAAAATAATATTAATATTAATGATGATGAAATTATTGTTAAATCACATTCACAAGCATATCATACCAGTCAATTACTTAATTTTACTAAAAAATTAAATGATATTTTAAGTATTGGTAATTATTATACTATATTAAATTTATAAAATACATTAATTTTAATAATTTCTTAAATTTCTTAATATTTATATATTTATTTAATTTAATAGAAGTCTTAAATATTAAAATGTTGAAATAAAAGATTTAAATTATATTTAAATTAATTATTTAATATATTAATTTATTTTATAAATAGTTAAAAAATTATTTATTTTATTTATATTTTATAAATTTTTATTTAGTAACACTATACTGTATATAGAATATTTTATTAAAAATATAGTTTGTAATTGTTAAAATAAAATTTATAAAAAATTAAAAACAATTTTTAATAATAAATATAATGTATTTATATATAAGAGTTTGCTATTTATCACTGTTAGTAATTAAAAGTTTTTATTATCTCATATAAATGATGATATTTAAAAGGGTAAAACAAATATTTTTTAGCAATAAAAAATTCAAAGTCCTTAAAATACATAATAAAAATGAAAACAGTGAAATATATCAAATAATACATGCAATATAAACATATAAAATGAGTAACTCTAGTGGTAAACACTAAAAATGGTAATGGTTAGTCATAGTCAGTTAATAGTCGATCAACGGTCAGTCAGATGTCTTTGACCAACTGACCAGTTGATTGATTGGTTTTGACTGACTGGTTGATTGACTGATTTTGACTATTTTTGACTAACCAGTTGACTAATCGATTTTGACTTACTAATTCAAAATGACCTTTAGCATTTTGTAATGAAAATTTATGAAATATTTCTTTTTCTACTTTCTTATCAAATGAGAAATATTGTATAATTAACAGGTTGTCATCAAAGTAATTAGGTGACACTAATATTACTATAGGAACTAACTTTAGGAATTACTTCTTATTTTTATAATTAAATTCGCCATTAAAAAAGTTAAAAAACACTAATTAATCTGCATCTGAAAAAAGGCTAATCAATAAAGCTGGTATTTGAAACATTTGATAAGAAAGTAAAGAAAGAAATATTTCATAAATTATCATTACATAAATGCTAAAAATCATTTTGAATTAGTAAGTCAAAATCGGTCAGTCAACCAGTTGATCAAAAACAGTAAAAAATAATCTGTTAAAACTGATCAAATCAGTCAGTTAATTGATTAATCAAAAGTCTTTGACTGACCGATATCAGTCATAGTTATAATTGATCATGATCATAACAAATAGCATTTTTAGTAAATACCAGTAGTAATATATAATAAATTTCTCATATACAGTATATTATAAAATTCTATATTATATTTTATAATTTTAAATTATGATTTTATATATATAAAATTTTTTTAAAATATATATTAAACCAAATTAATTATTTGAAAAAAAAAGTTAAGTCAAAACTTTATAAAAAAATTATAGTAAAAAAGTATTTTTATTATAAAAATATTATTAAAAATATTTTTTTCAATTTTATAATACTAAAGGATAAAACTGGTTTGATATAAATTAATTTAAATTCAATTTAGTTTAAACTAGTTGCAATATATAAAGTTTTTAATGAATTAAGCCAAATTTTGAGTTAAATAAGTTGAGTTAAATTGAATCAAAAGAATTTTGAGTTGTTTAAATTGAGTCAAGTTTTAAATTAAGCTTAACTTGACTTAAGATCAAAGTTAAGCCTAAAGTCAAATAAATTTAAATCCAAAATCAAGTTAATATTAAGTAAAAATTTAACAATTTATTTAAAAAAGTATAAAAAAATCATTTCAATAAAACAATATACATTATTCCTTTAGAACAGTATTTTATTATTTTATTATAACAATTTTTTTATTTATCATTTTTTTAAGATTTTAATAAAATGGTCTTATATAGTTTTATTTATTGCTTTGTAAGAATCAGGTCAGATCAGGTTTGAAGCATGTTCGTATTTAAACCTGTTAATATTTATAGGATTCAAATTCAATTTGACCTGATTATTGTTTGACCTGATTTGATTATACTGCTCGAAATCAAAAAAATCACCATTTGCTATTCATTAACAATTCAGACTAAATTTGAAAATTGGTTAAAAATTGATCATCATATTTATGACCAATTTATGGTAGATTAGAGTTAAACCAAAAGTCAACTCCAATTGATCCAATAGGACAATGTAAAATTGTACAATTGAAAAAATTATCCCAAAAATATGATAGTAAACAATCGTTCCAAATGAAATGATACAATCAATTTCCCAAAAGGACGATTTTTAAATTGTTCTTAATGAACAATTGACTTATCATCCCTTTGGGATAATTTATAAATCATTCTTATTGAACGATGATTTATCGTCTCAAAAGAACAATTTTTTAATCGTTTTTAATGAATAATTGACTTATCATCTCTTTGGAACAATTTTTTAAATCATTCTTATTGAACAATCAAAAAAATCATTCCAAAGGGATAATAAATCATTATTCAATAAGAACGATCAAAAAAATATCCTTTGGGATGATTCAACATTGTTCCTTTTAGAATAATAATTGTTCAATAAGAATAATAAAATATCGTTCCTTTGAAATGATGATCGTTTTATAAGAATGATAAAATATCATTCCTTTTTAGAATGATGTTTGAACGATTTAATATCATTCCTTTTAAAATGATCAAACTATCGTCCTGAAGGAATAATACATTATTGTTCAAATCAACATCATCATTCTAATCAGATGATGAAAAATCATCTGATTGAAACAATCAAATCATCGTTTCCTAAGGAATGATACAAATCATTCAATAGAAACAATATTTCAATTGAACAATATAACAATTATCCAATTGGCTAGAACAATTATGAATAAATTTCAGATTAATCAAAAACTTTCAGATTAATCTGAAAAAATTTTTCCTTTTTTTTAACCTTTTTCCTTTCTTTTTTTTCTTATCTTAAAGATTTTTACCATTTTTTTAGGAAAATTCTCATTTCGAAAATGTGGTAAATCATTTTTTAAATGAAAATTTATTTTAAAAATAAGTAAATTGAAAACAAGTTTTTGGGTGATTTTCCTTTCTTTTTTTTGTTTTTATAGGAAAATTCTCATTTGAAAATGAGATAAGTAAATTGAAAGCAAGTTTTGAATAGATTTTTCCTTCTTTTTCTTTTTTAGAAAAATTATTATCTTGGAATTAAGGTAAGCAAATCATTAGGACTTTTTAAGTGAAAATTTACCATTTTTTTTTTCTTATTTTTTTTTAGGAAATTTCTTAAGGTAAGCAAATTGTTAGAACTTTTTGGATGAAAATTACCATTTTCTTTTTCTTATTTTTTTTTAGAAAATTTCTTAAGGTAAGCAAATCGTTGAGACTTTTTGAATGCAAATTTATCATTTTCCTTTCTTTTCTTATTTTTTAGGAAATTTCTTAATGTAGGCAAATTGTTGATGACTTTTTGGATAAAAATTTACTATTTTTTTTTCTTTTTCTTAATTTTTAGGAAATTTCTTAAGATAAGCAAATAGTTAGTGACTTTATAAGTGAAAATTTACCATTTTCTTTCTTTTTCTTGTTTTTTTTAGGAAATTTCTTAAGATAAGCAAATTATTTGAGTGAAAATTTACCATTTTCTTCTTTTTCTTGTTTTTTTTTTAGGAAATTTCTTAAGGTAAGCAAATTATAGATGACTTTTTAGGTGAAAATTTACTATTTTTCTTTTCCTTTTCCTTTTTATTTTTCTTATTTTTTTAGAAAATTTCTGATCTTAAAATTAAGATAAGCAAATCATTAGTGAATTTTTGGATGAAAATTTATCATTTTCTTTTTATTTTCTTATTTTTTTAGGAAATTTCTTATCTTGAAATTAAGGTAAGCAAATCGTTAGTAACTTTTTGGGTGAAAATTTATCATTTTCCTTTTTTTTTTCTTATTTTTTTAGGAATACACTATGATAAGTCAATCGAAGGTGAAATTTTTAATTCTTTTCTTTTTTTACTTTATTTTTTATATATATTTAAAGTGTTTCTTTTTAAGAAATTTAAATTTAACAATTATGTAAAATAATAAAAATATAAATTTAATAAATTTAAATAAATTTAAATTTGTTATATTAATTCCAATTTGTGATTTGTGGTTAATTTTAAGTGGTTAAATTAGGTTGATTTTTAGCAAATTGTATCTGATTTGTGATTGAATTGTAGTTGATTTTAAGTTGTTAAATTAGGTTGATTTTTAGCAAATTGTATCTGATTTGTGATTGAATTGTAGTTGATTTTAAGTGGTTAAATTAAGTTGATTTTTAGCTGAATTGGTTTAAATTGTGGCTGAATTTAGATTGATTTTAAGCTTGATTTTTAGGTTGAATTATATTTGAATTGTTATGTCTAAATTGTTTCTATTAACACTGAATTGTACTAATAAGAATTAAACCAAATTTATTACAATTCAGATATAATTCAGATATAATTTAGATATGTAATTGTTAGTCAAATTGTATCATTTGACCAATATATAGTTTTATCAGTTTTAATGAATTTTATTATAATTATAAATAGAAAAAAAAAGTATATAGTAAGATTATTAAGTTATATTACTTAAGAATAAACAATGTATATACTTTAATAATTCAAAAACAAATTTTAAATATAGTATTACTATATTTATAATAAAAACAAATATTCAAATTGCTATAATAGAAAGATGCTACAGTAGATTCAATTTTTAATAATTTAATACTTTGTATAGGTTATTAAGAAATAAGAGATAATTTATCTCAGATGTTCTTATAATTATTTTGTCAAGCTGATATAAAATATAAAGGATTAGTAAGGTTTGAACAGTCAAGCTAATTTTTTATTTATATTATAGCTTTATAATATGTTTGCAAAATTTAGAATTTAGTCAAAAATCTTTATAAATCATATTATAATAGTTATTTGACAATCTTATCTGAAGAATTAGAAGTTATCACAATATCAAATACACATCAAATATATCTTACAAGTTTATGATTAATATTTAAATTTCATTGTCTCTAAACCAAAACTATTTTTTAAATCAACAAAATATTATTATTCATCAAATGATTTAATTACTATGAAAATAGTATTATATTAATAATATACAAATAAAGAGAAATGAATAATGTAGGATATTCAAAATAGATGGTCTTGTTATTTTTTGATAACATTTATTAACATTTATTATTTTTTTATTTTATTGTTATTTTATTATTATTTTATTAGTATTATTTTATTATTATTATTATTAATTTATATCTACTAGCATTTATTATTTTTTTTTTATTATTTTTTTTATTATTTTTATTACATATATAAGAAATTCAGCTAGTGATCATTAAGTTAGCATAATAAAAATCATTTAAGCCAATATTGTCTACTAGTTATAATTGTTCTTCAGTCAAATTAATTTACTGACTATAATTATTCTTCAGTCAAATTAGTTTACTGATCAAATTAGTTTCTTAAATAAAAATGTTCTGTTAAAATTTATATAGATAAATGGCAGAATTTTTTTTAATAAAGTTTATCAATTTATCATAACAATAATTACAATAGTTAATACAATTCATATTCACTATAATAAATATCATTTAATCTTTGAAAAGTCTGATAATTCCCTAAATATAAAAACATTGTTATCTATTATTTCTCTTTTATATTTTTATTATAATAACTTTGAAGATATAATTAATAAATATATCTGATTATATAGATCGCTAACATTGCAAGTGATATGATATTTATGTTATATTATATTAGAATTAGATTATTATTAATTAAATTAGTAAATCAATAAATATGATACCTTCTGCTTACTTTAAAACTCTATTTATAACCTATAAATATCAAAGAATTGCTATTAACATTAGCTATAGAACAAGTAATTGATCATATAGGAGGCAGTCAGTAGAAAAGGGGGAAATCCAAATTTTGGTCAAAAATTTTTTAATTAGTTCACTTCACTGATCATAGTCATGTGAACAAAATTAGCTTAGTAACTAAAGTTACTAAAATTTTCAGATTTCTCCCTTTTCTACTGACCACCTTCTATATGGTTAGATTTTTATTCTTCATATTAATCACTATAGAAGTTAAACTAATAAAGATCTATAATGATTTTTAAATAAGAATTCTATAAAATTTAAGGAATCTTTATGGATCCATAAGGCCAAATATTACTGATATATTAGTGATAAAAATTAATAATGATAAATAGTAAACTTCTTAAAAAAACTTTATAAACTATAAAAATTTATATTTAAAACATTTATTTATATATAGTCAACCTTCTCTATAGTTAGTTCCATTTTTAAAATAAGAAAATATCTCTTTCATGATTACAATAATATATAAAAATATAATTATATCAATTTTTAATCCTATCCTATAATAAATATAAGAAAATTAATTGTCATTTATATAATTACATCAAATTATATTCTTTTATATAATTATAATAAATCATATAATATTAATTTTATTTATATAAATAATATCAAAAATATCTAAAAATAAAAGAGTATGTTCTCAGTCAATACTATTTTATTTTTCATAAAACAGCTATCATATGAATCTCAACACTAGACAAATTTAATAAATTAATATTTATTGATTTCAGATCATTCAATTTTAAAATAATCACAATTAAATTATCAGCTGAAATATTAATTCAATAATTCTACTTAAAGGAATTTGATTTTTAAAATTCAATTGTAATTATAATTAGCTGATCAAAATTCAATATAACTTGGCTTAGTGATTTATCTAGTTTTAAGGATTTGAATAGTAGTTATTTTATGAGAAATAAAACAATATTGACTGAAATTATACTCATTATTTAGATTTTCTTATAATAACTAGATATAATGTAATGAATATATGTATCTTTTATGACTTATTTAATATAATTTTTTATTTTTTTTTAATTTTTAATTCTTTATTTATTCTTTCTTTTCTTTTCTCACTTTTTCTTTCATTATCTCTTTCTTACTTTTTTTTCCTCTGTTACTTTTTATTCTCTTTATTTCACTATAATTTTCTTTCCTTTTATTATTTTCTTTTTCTTTTTCTTTCCCCTACTTAAGATGCATACAATATTCAACTCTAAATCAAAAAAGAAATTATTGATTTTCAAAATAATTGATGGTTACAATCACTATATGAATAGTATAGATATTCTGATCAATTAAGATCCTACTACAATACTCAACAAATGGTATGAAAGAATTGGACGAGATGGCCAAAGATAACAAACAAGCTTTCAAATTAATAACTTATATAGTGGACATCAAAAGTCATCAGATACTTAAAATTAAAAATCAATGAAAATGGTTCTTTCAAATAAAACTTTTATTTTATTAATTTAATCACTTTTAGAATAATAAGTAAAGTTATACACCATAACGAATTGCATATATTTAAAGTTTTTATAGATATCTGATCAGTAGTAAAATTTATATTATATATTTAACATGACATTTTCATGTTTTTATACAAAATTTCAGTTATATTAAACATATAATTTTTCAGCTATAATCATTTTTATTCATTAAGTAAACTTGTTCGTCAAATTAAAAATAAATTTCTGCAAAATTTCAGATTAATTACATTTATTCTTAAGGAGATCATTTGATAAATGTAGTAGTTAAATTTAAAGAGAGATAGACATATCACGTGACTTTTAATAACTTCACTGTAATCAAGTCAATCTCATCAAGTTTATATGTAATTAATCTGAAATTTTGCAGAAATTTATTTTTAATTTGACGAACAAGTTTACTTAATGAATAAAAATGATAACTGAAATTTTGTATAAAATCATGAAAATGTCACGTTAAATGTATAATATAAATTTTACTACTGATCAGATATCTATAAAAACTTTAAATTATATGCAATTCGTTATGGCGCATAACTTTACTCATTATTCCAAAAGTGATTAAATCAATAAAATAAAAGGTTTTATTTGAAAGAACATTTTCCGTTGATTTTCTAATTTTTAAGTGCCCGGTGACCTTTGATATCCTACTGTACCTGAAAACCATTTTGCTGAATAGAGGAAGCGACGAGAATTACGTTATTGATCTATACCAAATTTGAGTTTCACAAAAATGTCAATCAAGAAGAATCCACCTTTGCGACATCGATCATTAAAGTGTCTTTTAGTATATAATCCACTTCTAATTAAATGTAAAAAACAATAAAAACTTTGCTGAATTAAAATATGATATATGAGTTATATGAGAATTATTTTATTAAAAAAAATATTAAAAGATTTTTATAGCTTCATAAAAAGTTAATCGTTATTTATCAAGTGATTTACAATAATAGCTAATAATTATAAATTAACTAAATAATAGCGATAGTAAATACTTTAAAATATTTTAAAATGTTTATGAAAATATAAGTAACTAATTTATTTCGAGGCATTAATTCAAAATTGTAGATGTCATCGGTAATATCCAATAACCAAATTTAAATTGTGTTCACCAACCGAAAAAAAAACAATTAGTGAGACTTTTTTTGTTTCTCAAAGCGGTGATGAATAAATTATTTCTTATTTTAAAATTATATGTAAATTACAATTAATTAAGAACCACGACTACCAATTGACTTGCAAGATTTAATGTATCTAAATAAAATACAATATTTTTGTCAAATTATTTTTACAAAACTCAACTAATTTAAAAAAAAATATATATTACCTTTTATGTAAGTTTAGAGTAACTGGGTGGTGCATATCTTCTTCTTAAAAATTTAATAATATATAACGGAATACTACTAACTGCTGTTATTACAGCAACTTTCCAAACAAATGTTTCAGTCAAAATAAATACTAAATCTATTTTAAAAGAAAAAATTTAATATTGAAGAATAAGGAATTTTTTTACCATAATAAAAATATTGTTTTATTACTTACCAAAATAAGTAGGTAAAAATATCATTGAAACAATATAAAAAGCTAATGTAAGAATTTCTGATAATAACATTAACCTATGCCTATTGAATTGCGCATAAAATTAATAAATAAATTAAAAGATTTTACAAAATTTCAAATTTTGATTAACATACCATGTATTAATCTCAAAAGCAACCATCAATAATTCATTAAGAATTAAAGCAGTAAAAGAGATAGAAACGATATTTATAAATTCATCCTCAAAGAGTACAATTGACATAATCATAATTGCGCCACCTGAAAAAATATAGGTAATGTTACTATATAGAACCAAGTAAAAAAATAATTTTTATTAATAAAAATAAAAAATTACCTTGATAAACACTAATCATTAGCCACTGAAAGAAAGTCTTCAAAGATAACGATCGACCCTAATAAAAAATGAAAAGGTTTAATTTGTAGATTCTAAATAATTCGAAATAATCCTTTATTTACCTTTGTCAATTCCTTGTATAGTTCTGGAAATTGCAAAGCTATATCCTCGTTCACATCTTTATCCAACACGAGTGAAAATACCGGTGCCATTGTATAAACTGTAGAATATCCAACAATCAACATCCCCTAATTAACACACAATTCGATTAGAAAATGCTTTTATAATAATAAATAGAAAATATATATTACCTGATAAAGAGCAATAGGAGCAAAATAAAATATCGAAGAAAACACTGCTTGTATAACTGATATTATCAGACCACGATGAATAACGAATTGTGCTAATTTTGCAGAACGTTTATAACTATTTCTACCGTGCCATACTAGAAAATTATGAAATAAACATCAGAAAAAATATGTATATTTGACACTCTTTCTTAATTTACAAAATAAAGCAAATAGTTTTAAAGGTTTACTTACATAAAAGTTTTGTCAAATAACTGAACTGAATCACTGAGAAATCTGCAGCCAAAGAAGCCTGTTTGCCTTCCTTTCCTACAATTCCTACGCCTGAAATTAAATTAACATAATTAGTATACATCGAACAAGTAAGATTTCCTACAATAATATATAAAACTTACCAACATCGGCTGCTTGAATCATACTAACGTCATTACCACCATCTCCTATACAGCAAATCCTTTTATTTGTATATTTCTTAATGAGTCTTGTTATATCAGCCTGTAAACAAATATTATTTAATTAATAAAATTACAAAAATATTTATCATTTTGATTAAATAAACTATAAAATACCTTTTGAGTAGGAGAACATCTACAAGCAACAACGACAGGCAATTCTACAGCCAGTTCAATGAATTCAAATTGATAATGATCCATATAAAGCTGGATTGATTCACCATCAATTACTAAACAACAATCTCTTCTGGCTTGTAAACTTTCTAATTCTTCTAAAGCTGCTTCAGTATTTTGGACTATATAATAAATATATATGAGTATATTTATTGATAATAATGATTATAAATGCAAAAAAGGTGTAAATAAGATATGATACGTTTAGATATTTGATGAATAATTTGATTCCTTGAAGAGATTAGCTTTGAAGAAATAGCAATACATGTTGCCGTTTCAATCTTGTCTCCCGTTAACATCCAAATTTTTAGACCTGCGTTTCTCAATAATTCTAAAGTGGTCTTTACACCATCTTGAAGCTTATCTTCAACTCCAGTTACTCCCAAAAGTTCTAGATCTTGTTCCAGAATTGCATTTATAACAGCCTGCTCTTGAACTTTACGATCTGAAAGACTTACCTTTGCTTCATGATATCTATAAAATAATTATTTAATTAAATATATTTAAAAATAAAGTATGAAAAATTCTTATATAGTTACCTGTTTGTGAAATCATTATATACATCTACTGATATTTTTTTACGTGCAACGACTAAAGTTCTTAAACCTTCTCTGGCCATATTTCCGCATTCTTCATCTAACCAATCATTGTATTGTACAATTTTACTCATTACAACATCTGCTCCTTTCTCATAAAAAAAAATTTCCTCTGTCGTTATATCTTTTACGATAATTCCCATTCTCTTACTTTCACTAGTGAATGGGAATATTTGCAGAATTTGAAACTTAAGGACATCACCATGCTTTGTACGAAGATGCATCTCATTGATATCGCGGAAAACAAGAGTAAGACCAACATACTCTGTCCATTTCACAATGGCAACTTCATCTGGTGAAGATGCTTGATATGTGATCACATTATCAGAATCAATTACTGGAGTTACCTTAAAATTGATAAACAAATAAAATGGCATTAATCAAATATTTTATTCATTTATACTAATCAAAATATTTTCTCACATTATGACACAATGCCAAAGCAAGTACAATATCTTTTATTCTCGAAGTCATGTCTCTACGACTCCTTCCAACTATGATAGTAGAAGTAGGAACAGCAGTTCGAGACGTTCTCGGTACATGTGCCTCTTATATGTGAAAATGATTAATATTAAAGTTCAAAATCAAAGAGAAAATTATACATATTATATGTAATATATACCTTTTCCTTGCTGCTTTCCAAATGCTACTTCAAGCTGATGAGAAATTTCATCCATAGTATCAATATTATAGGCCATAGTTCCCAAATGAAGTTTTTTGAGCTCCATATCTATTAATATTGAATGATTACTCATAACTTGAATAATATTTTGAGAGGTTAATAATATTTTTAACATTGTTACCATTTTTAGTCAGTGTTCCAGTTTTATCTGACAAAAGATATTCTATTCTACCAAGTTCCTCGGGTATTGTACTGGTACGTACAATTGTATCAGGAATTTCATTGTCATTCATAATCTGATATGCATATACAGTTTTACCCATGTCTAAATTGACACGTAAACTAAAAATAAATATATTATTAATAAAAAAATTTTAAATGAATTAAACCTTTTTTGATAAAGGACTCACCCTATTGGAATAATGGAAGAGAAGAGAATCAAGAATCGGAATAAATAAATATACCAGAGTCCTCGAAATCCATTCAAAGCAATAAGCAACAATGACAATAATAATGTAACTACGAACAAAATCTGTTAAAAAAATAAATATTGATAATATTATTATCTCTTTTACAAATTCAATTATTTTATTGATTCAATTTTATCAAGACCGACCTTAGAAAGCCGATTAATTTCTTGATCAAGTAATCCAACTTTCGTCTCTGGATGACTTGTATTCATAACAGCCCGAGTCTCTTTACCAGTATAAATCACAAATCCAATAGCGGTACCTGATGCCAATACAGTATTCATCCATAATGTATTTTCAACATTAAGAGCTTCAATATGTGGCGTCTATAGGTACAATAAAGAAATTAATCATTTATTATTATTATTATTATTTTAAAAAAAAAAATTATTAGAATTTTCTTACCAAATTTTCTGGGGCTGCCTTCGAAAAATTTCCAATGAAATTATGAATGTTTTTATGTGGAACATCAGCATATATTTCCGCATCAATATGTAAAAGGCTTTCATTTGATGGTAACTTTTGACAATATGGCACAGCCAACCTAATGACAATAAACGAAAATAATAAATATGAAATGTTCAAAATTTACAAAAATGAGAAAATCGAAATGGAAAAAAACCTTAGTTTCCAATCAGTTTCACCATCTAACTGATCAGTCCTAATAAAACAAGCACCACTTGTTTCGGTTGTCCGGAGCAATATTAGATCTGCAGGAACCTTCATTAAATGAATTAATTATAATTAATTCCTAAACTACTAAATTTTAAATGTTTAGGATATAACATACTCTTTGATCCTTATTAATTAGAATTAAGTCCCCAACTCTTATTTTTGAACTAGGCACAAGTTTAATCCCATTTCGAGTCATTATTTCATATTTTTGAGAATTATTTTCTTGATCTCGCTTATATCTTTTCCAATCGTCATACGCTTCTTTACCAATTGTTACAAGAAGCACAAAACATAATGGACCAAAATACGTGATAATATAACCTAAAATAAAATGAGACATTTTTTGAATTTAATTGCGATCTAAGAATTTATATTTTGATAAAACTTTCATACCAATTTTCAATGGTGGAATAAATTGAGATAATGCAACAAGAAGAAAATATAAATTAATGAATATGTGAAACTTAAAAGAAAATAATTATAAAGAAATTTGAAATTAGTATAAATTCTCTCATCGAAAGATGTATTATCAAGAATTTATTAAAGAATTTTTTTTTTTTACCTGTTGATAAAATACCAACGGAAAAAACGTAATTAAGTTATATTTTTGATTTCGAACTACATTTGGTGGAAATTTATCTTTTATTTTATCTAAAAAAATTATTCACAATAAAATTTAATAATAAATAATAATTACAGTATAGTAGTAGTATAATAATAATAAGCAGTAAAAGTAAATACCTGATGCATGAAATGAAATTGTACGTGCTTTGGCTTGTGGAGATCTAGATGATGAAATTTTCGTCGAAGATGATGAGGTTCCTATATTACGACGTCTCCTCGGAGATACTGGAGATGATGTTTCCTAATAATCAAAGCGAATAATTGCATTAATTTTCTATCAAAATATTTTTTTATTTTTATTTTTTTTCTGATTTGATATATTGTTTACACGACGGAAATTTAATGTCTTCTACTGTTTAGTGATATTAAGAATTCCCGATTGCTGTTAATGGGATCTGTTAAAAGGAATCTAACATACGGGGAAGGTTAAAAGCCGGGAAACCACTTTTTCTATAATAGAAGTGTAAAAAAGCAACTTTTTATATATATACCTCTGCCCAGTCGTCGTAACGATTTTGAATTAAAGGAGCTTCGTCCTCTAAATCCGAACTTCTTTGTTTTACCCTATTCTCCGAAAAAGGCATAATAGTTTTTAGAGCGATGGAAGGTTCTCTCACCATTATTACGGAAATTTATAACTTAAATTCATCGAATCGGTCAAAAAGTAAACCGAATTACAGTTTCAAATTAAGGGTAATGCGGTATTTAAATGATGCACAGCCATTGACACAGCCTAAACTAGCATGGTGGACATACTTCATATTATCTCAATTTGTTGATCATTTTGCCGATTATTTTCTCATTTTTATCACATATTGAAAATGCAGTTAACAATGTATTTTAGCTTTGATTGAAAAATCTTACATAAAAATAAAAATATATACTAAAATTTTACATGTAACTTTATTTTAAAAAGGTATTAAAAATAAGCAATTTTTTAAGTAGCTCTAATTGAAATATTCACTTAATAATATGTACTAGAATTTTATATTTAATATTATGTTAATTTAGGGATAGTTAATTTTTACTAAAATCCAATCATTGTTGGATAACATTTACATTAACCAACTTTTACAATTAACATTTAAAAAGATATTAATATAAGCTAATTTTTTAATTAGCTCCAATAATTTACATAATAATATATATAAACTTTAATTATGTTATATTATTTTATAGTTATAAAGTAATAAATTTATTAAAATTAAATGTTATTAAATAACATTTGTTAGAAAAATATATTAATTGATTATTTTTAAAAAAATTTATTGATAATTTACACTTTGATCAAATAAATTAGACTATATTACATAGTTGTGTTTAATATATTTTTTTTAATTTTAAATCTTATAAATAAAATATTTTTTTTAATAAATTTATCTCTGTAGTAAAAAGTTTGTAGTAACAATTGATTATAAAGTTGTTGAAATTAAAACTAAACTTTAGCTAATGAATCTAAAATTTATTTTATTTAATATATAGAATTTTAATACCAAAACTAAGAATTTTGAATTTAATAAACTTTTGATTTAATATTTATTAATAACTTATTAATATTAGATTTTAAAATATATTTTTAATATTTTAATTTGAAATAGATTGTATATTAAATTTCCTTTCATAGTTATAATAATTTAATTTAAATAAATTTGTGTATGATAGCATTTTTTTATAATAATATTTACAAGTATAAGAAATTTTTTATTTTACTTAATTGATTATAAATTAGTATAGCTTTATATATTTATAAGAAATAGCGTTATTATTAGAAATAATTCTCTTATTATATTTCTGTCTAAGTTATTTTATTGTAGTAGATAAGTTTCTTATTATCAGACTTTACAACTTTAGGGAATTTATGTTTTACAGGTATTTAGAATTTTTTGAAATTACTTCGCTTAATTTTATGAATTTAAGGATTTAAGGATTTAGAAAAACTTAGAGAATTTATTTATTCTTAGTGATGAACTCAAAAGCAAATTAGTGTAGTGTAAAAATAAGAACTGTAATTAATATGTTACAACTTTTAATATTGTAATTTACGTTACAATTAGTTTTGATCTATATATATTGCAACCAATTTTAGCTTATATTGTAACATGTTGTAAATTTAAAATTAATTGCTACATCATTTTTAGTATAATAATTCACAAAGATAATTATATTTTAAAGTTGATTCCTTTATTTATTACTTAAAACTTGTAATAGAGTTTAAAATTCGCAAATGAGTTAATTTACAATTTGAGCAAAATATTATTCTATTAATTTGCTATTTAACTAATTGCTACACTATCCCTTTAATGGTAAAAAATTGCAGGCAAATTTGCATGCAATTTTAAACAATTTTAATTAATTTTTAACATAAATTTTTATTATTAAACCTATCGATTTTTTTTGATTTTTAC